TAAAGCTAACACGAATATCTATCACAATCACATATTTTTTCTCACATGGAACTAAATTGGTCAATTCAGGGATGGATCATCAGTACTATTCATACAACCCGTTTATTTATAATTGAAAGCGTCGGTTTGTGACGTTGAGGCTATTACAGTGTGAATATGAAATGAGTATGATGACTTATCGACATTTATTTAAAAAATAGAATTGATTCAAACTCTGAATCAACACAGCTCGCTCAAACACATTTATCATGCAAAATAATTTCAAATATTTTATGTTTAAATTAATATTTACATTGATGCATGCAAAATGGATATTGCAGTCATTACAATTTGTAAATAGTTGCGAAAATACCTAAATAAATAATTATATAAAAGTTCCTACACGTTGAAAATGTATTGATCTCTATCACATATATTAAGGAAGGGAAAGATCAATGTGATTGTCTCATCAATATAATTATTTATAATTATAATAGGACCAAGAAATAAGTATATTTAATTTAATATATTCAATCTAAAAGACATCGATTCACTTAAGTATACAAAAAATAAGTCGATAGTTCTATAGCTATCAAGTTTTGTTTTCAGTGAGTTTTATATAAAAAACATTATGCAAGAGATATACAGGGTGATTCAAAAGTAAGCGGCATCCTTTCAGAGGCGTATTCCTTGCATGAAAATAAGGCAAAAAGTTCCTATTGATAAGGATCCGAAAATGCTTCCTAAGGGAGCTACGGCCCTTTGAATAGGACACCTCAAAGACGGTTTTTTCTCTATAACTTTAAAATCCTTCACAACAAATTTTTAAAAATTGGTGTACGGCATAAACATTCGATGGTAAATAGGACTCCGTATTCGAAATAATTTCCAAACGAAATCACAGTAACCTGAATATCCGGAGAAGAAGGGATATTTTTACACTTACCCTCTCCCGCATGTGACGCCCCTGAATGAAATTCTGAAATTTCGAATACGGAGTCCTATTTACCATCGAATGTTTATGCCGTACACCAATTTTTAAAAATTTGTTGTGAAGGATTTTAAAGTTATAGAGAAAAAACCGTCTTTGAGGTGTCCTATTCAAAGGGCCGTAGCTCCCTTAGGAAGCATTTTCGGATCCTTATCAATAGGAACTTTTTGCCTTATTTTCAAGCAAGGAATACGCCTCTGAAAGGATGCCGCTTACTTTTGAATCACCCTGTATAAGTATTTGACATCCAGATGAATTTTGCAAATGAATATTAGGTAGAGGTACCTCACGACAGTTCATCTGATGTAATTCATACATACGTACCAAAAAGATTAACTACCTATAAAGACATCTCAGAGATTCTACATAAGCTTTAAAATCGCATACAATATCAAAATGTCCGATGTATATTTTAATTTAGTCCTCTAAGTAGTATCTTTATTGCTGATTCTTTTTTCCCATAAACTGAAAGTATGTTTGCAATAAGAAAATATTATTTTAGACGTACCTATACAGTGCGGATGTTTATCATGGGGTAAAAATTGATGATGTTGATGGTTTCTACGAAACGAAACGTACAGAAAATCTCATCGCTGTTTTGTAGAGCTTGAAAATCTCTTTTGTTTTCCGATATCTCTTTAAATAACGTTATAGAAAAAAAAAACGATCCCAATGATAGACATCCTTTTTGTGGACACGGTGTATATTGGATAAATATTAACGGCTTTAAATACTCAAATAATTTCAATCATGTGAATCAATCGTTTTAAAATTAAGATAATGAAGAACAGCCATAAAATTTGTTCAAATAAACAACCATTACCAACCAATATTCCTCAGGTATATTTGAAATTCAATGAGAAGAATTCAGAAGATATAAACATAGAATCAGCAGTGGCGGCTCCTCAGAGGAGGCAACGGAGGCTGAGCCTCCTCAGAAATTCTCCTTAAACTGATATTATCTATACTTTCTCATTAAAAGGACACCAAAATACATGGATTTTGATTTTATTTCCTGTTTTTAGGTAAATATTTTTGGATTGGCAAAACATCTATAGGAGGCTAGACTCCTTCACAATGCGCAACCTACGCGCGCATCAATGCAAATGCCCGAATACGCCCGAATAGCACGTGTTTGTCGTGTCGCGTCGCGAATTGCGGACAATCCAGCGCGAGTGCATTGTCTATGTTTATGTTAGGTTAATGGTTAGGGGCTCTATAAATTTCTGAAAAATGAGTGTTTTAAACGATTGCGATTTAGTGGAATACTTTTTGGTGAACCCATTCAGTGCTTTGTCTTATGAAGATGAATTGATTGTGAAAAACTAACGTCCGACACAGGAATTAAAAAATATGATTGTAACAGGTAACAAACAAAATCGTTCGTTCAATTCTGATAATTATAAAAAATATATCTGGTTGACGGGATCTGAGGTAAGGAATAAGCTATTTTGTTAGTAATGCGTATTATTTTCAACCGATAAGTCATCATGTTGGGGGCGATTAGGATATAGGTAATGATTTGAAAAATTTGCCTCGCGGATTGGATAGACACTGCAAATCACAGGAACACATCTCTCCAAGTATCAAGCAGTTCAGGTTGACTGGTAAACAGAATGTCATTAAAGCTATTGATTTGGGTGAGTCGTAGAGAGTTGTTTTTCACAAAAAATCTCATATCATTACATCAAACAGCCTCCTCTGTCATGAAAGTCACGAGCCGCCACTGAGACTCAGTTACATATTTCATAAACAACTAATGGAGAAAACATGGACATTCTAAAATTCAGTATGATATATAGGTATCATACAATCAAATAGTAATACAAAACCGATATTGCTTTGGGATATTCATTTTCTGATCGAACTCCGTCGTTTTCAAATACCAAAAACCATCGAAATATTCTTATCTAAGTTAAAGCTGGTGATTTTTTCATATCATCGTGGAAGGATCAAACAGGATATAGTTATATGATATTATATGTTCCAGTGATGAAAAGTGGATTTTATAATACGAGACAATTAAAGAACATTAATTATACATAAGTAAACTGGGCGTCAATTGTAACGTTAATAGTGAAATTTGGCATCAAGTTTGACTTCTCGTAATTTCTAAAATATTGAACGAATTTTGAATTGCCGCCCAGATTCTGAATGCCTTTTTCATCGTCTTTCGAACCGTTCCTTACAACTTCTTCTGAATTGATCAGGACCCGTGATACAGGGTGAAACAAAGTTTCGTGCATTTTGAAAAGAATTTCTCCGCCCCCCCATTTTGTCGGAATACCACGATGCTCATATTTTATTCAGGCATTTCATAAATAGCAACCATACCTCGGGACATTTTCGAGTTTTTGCCAATAACTACTGTGGTTTCCGAAAAAAATTTTTTTTTTGCATTTTTTTTAAATGGCCTGATTACCTGTATCTTCAAAACGATGAATCAGTCTTTTTATTGTCATGACTGACTTATTGAAAATGGTACTTAAATGAGTTTGGGTATATCCTAATCGTCGTAACCTGAAATAATAATTATCTGTACTGAATTATAGTTTAAATCACTATAATGATCTTACCAAATGATATTTTCCATTTCGACCCGATTTGAACGAGGCATCTTTAAATTTTTTAGGACCCGAATTTCACTGACGTTTTCATGAAAATTGGCAATTGATATAACCTCTATGAATACCTTCATTGTATCAACAATACGTTGTTATAGAAACAAGGTATCGTTGTTTGTTTTTGTTGATGAGATGTGTTGATTTACTGCTCACTAAGGTAGAAAACTTTTATCATAGACTGCGAAGTAATAAATTATTGATTGTTTTTGAGTAACCTGGTATACATATTTGCTCCAACGCTTTCCTGAAATGCATTAAAGCATCCATTTATGGAACTCCTCTAAAATTAGTCCATTTAAAAAAATACAAAAAAATTTTTTTTTCTCGGAAACCACAGTAGTTTTTGGCAAAAACTCGAAAATGTCCCGAGGTATGGTTGCTATTTATGAAATGCCCGAATAAAATATGAGCATCGTGGTCTTCCGACAAAATGGGGGGGCGGAGAAATTTTTTTCAAAATGCACGAAACTTTGTTTCACCCTGTATCACGGGTCCTGATCAATTTAGAAGAAGCTGTATGGAACGGTTCGAAAGACGATGAAAAAGGCATTCAGAATCTGGGCGGCAATTCAAAATTGGTTTCAATATTTTAGAAATTACGAGAAGTCAAACTTGATGTCAAATTTCACTATTAACGTTTCAAGTGACGCCCAGTTTATATGCCTTTTGCCACAGCACATGCATATCCAAGGAAAACTCAATATACAGGGTCATTTTGAAAACTTCCCACCCTCAAGGAAGATATTGAGGGTGAGAAGTTTTCTAAATGTCACCGTGTATAATATTTGCCTTTGATGCCATACCATGAAAGATCAAGTGAAATGTATCAATAGTATATTGTTTAACGAGCACGGAATGATAGTGGTTTCCCACGAGAATTTAGCAATCATTTAAGTGGAAAATTAACATTCCGTGCGAGTTATACACTATGATTTCTCTACGGCTGTAACAGATAACAGCGGCATTTTTGATTTCTTTGTCTTGCAGCCATCTGATTTCCTGTAAAGTAATGCTCATCTATTAGACAGAGCTGTCAATGCTTGCAATTTGACTTTCCATGAGCGATAAGGTTTTCTTGAAATAATAAAACAATGGTGTCATTATGATATCAGAAACGGAAATAAAATTGACGACATACAAAGTACCTCATTGATGTATCGAACACAGTAAAACAAGAGCAATGTTGTGTTATAGCCGTAGAAAAAATCGATTTTTAGATCTAAAATCATCTGAAATATTAAATAGCAATAGCCGTACTTTTTCACTCCATTCTATCCCATGCCAGTTTCAGTAATACTTACATGTAAGTTTCAGTATGGAAGATTCACTAAGTAAAGGATTGTAAAACGCTTACAAGACAGGATAGGTATGACAAATCTTACATATCGAAATATACCGAAATACCACTAAGATCTTCTTGGTTCGAGTTTTTGCGAAAGGCTCGTCAGAATCCTTTGATTGTCAATTGTTCTCAAACAAGAAATGTACGATTTGACTTCACCTTCACTCTTAGGTGACGGAGGTTCCAAAACTGCAAAAAAAAACGATATTTAGTAGGAATATCTACAAATGAGTCCAAATCGAAGGCTAATGAAAAAATATATCACTTCACTAATGAACTGAATTCAAGCGACAATCACGAACAGCTAGATGTTTTTTATCTCTTGGAGCGCACTAAAGGAAATTTCTATAATGTTCGTGAAACATCGTGCGTACCTATAGGGAGGATAGAGAGAGGAGGTAGGTGTTGGAATTATTTTCGAACTTTTGGTGCTGTAAATTTTATGTTCAGTAGCTGACTTTTTGTTCATCAAAATGAAAAATTATCCTATTCCCCAAAACGATTCGTTTTGCGGCATTCTAACAATAATACGTTTTTCATGTAAAAGTTTTCGAAATTTCATGTTCTGTTAGTAGAAATGAGATATATCTTGAAACAAAAAATCTTGAGCCATTTTTATAGCATCAGTTACGAGTTTCACACATCCCTGTATATGTTAAACTATTTTTTCTGAACCCCTAAACGATTTGTGAGATCGAATCACCTTCAGGTACCAAATTTAGTGATTCTAGGATCAATAATAACATATCTGTTCAACATCCAAGAGTAGAGCATGAAAAATATGAATCCTCTGAAGTTGAGAATTGACATTCTCTCTCAAATCGGATAAATAATATGATGTATTATTATATCATAATGAAATTGAGAATTGACATTCTCTCTCAAATCGGATGAATAATTGGATGTATCATAATACCATATATGTATTACTTTACCTGGATATCCCCAGGCAACCAGATGACGTTCCAGTGACGTCTTTTTTACGTCACTTGAATGACCAAGGTGACGCATGACATGATAATAATGACTTGAATAAGTCACAGCCCAATGACGTCATATTACTCACGTCGTATTGACGTCATTCACTCGCCAACATGACGTCCGACCGACGTCAAAATGACGATTAAATTTGGCGATGATACGTAAAAAAGATCCCTTTAACATGGTGTGATGAATACCACTGGCCTCTGATGACATTATATAATATTGATTATGCATTGTTGAGTCTGCTTGGTCATATATAATAGGCACACAATATGGATATCCAATGGACATCTTGTGTTATTATATAGGGTGAGTCGGTGAAATTACGACCTTACCTAAATGCCTGCTCCTACAAAACCTGATCGTCCTCATGGTCTGCGCCAGCATGTGCATCTTCTCGAAGTTCACCAGCCCGTCCAAGCAGGTTTTGTTGCCCTCGTGCGTGAAGGTCATGTCCTTGATCAGAAGCGGCATGAAGGGCACCACGGGCGGTTGCAGCTTTCCCACGTTCACCCTTTATCCAGTTTGATTGAATTTTTATCAGGAAAGTTATAGTAGTGCCGATTTCTCTCATTCCATATACCGGGTGACACAGGAAACATGTAACATCCTGTATATATGTATTAAAATAATTGTTTGAAAAAAAAATTGATAGAAATTCATTTTTTTTAAATCGGTTCGAGTGGTTTTGGGAGGTGCGGAATTTTTTGAAAATATTTTCGAGCCCCACCACTCCCATATGGTATGTCGGGCGCGAACGAACGGGAAATAAAATCGGAAAAAATTAAAGAAAAATATTTTCGGAAATTTTAGGTGTAATTATGATATCCATGATTCGAATAGCTATTTGATGAAAGAAATAGCAGATCAGGATTGTCTGGGGATGTGTATTCAAGAAATTGGAGGTCATATCGAGCAATTCATTTAGACGTGTTGAATTTCTATCATTTTTTTTCAAAAAATTATTTTTATACATTCGCTCTGAGCACCCGGTATTTCCATATTTACCTTTTCGTACGTGAAAATTTACGCTCTCTTAATAATAACCAGTACTTTTCGAATTATCTTAAAAACAAATGATTTTATCGAAATTTTACAAGAGACAAAAATAATTCAAAAATGATTGAAGAAAAATAGATAGGAAATCATATGCGCACGTACAAAAACAAAATTGGGAAAGTGTGTACTTGACCCCCCAGTATTTTGAATATTTGACAGTTATTTTCTGTTCTGTTTTCCTCACACGATGTAACTCTTTGTGCTGAAGTAATGTATCAATTTTGAGATTAATATCTTATTAAATACGCGAGTAAATGAAAAAAAATCAATTTTTTATTTTCAACTTTGACACCACGTATATCGAATATAAAGGGCTGAAATGAAAAATGGTATTCAGAAACTCATATTGTTTTTGTTCAAGGAATATATGGTTGATGAATTGACCCCAAAAAAAAAGTTAGGTCTACTTTCGATCAAACAGGTGGTTGAAGAGAATTGTCATTGGGTTCAAGGAAAGTGCCATCATCGATAATATAACCCTTGTGAATTTCAAATAAAAAATCTACAGGCTGTTACATGTCTTCTGTGTCACCTGGTACCTATAGCCTATGTCCAAATACAGGAAGGAAGGAATGCTCGAAGTCATCTCCACAAATTTCAATGATATTGTTACATAATCATAAGGGACATGTTTCGGTCTTATAAAAGACCATCTTCAGCCTAATTGAAAGGTCTACAATACAAAAACAAATGATATTTGAGTGAAAAAATTACCTATTTTGTGCTAGACATTCCTTCCTTCCTGTGAAATATTTCACTCCACTTTGAGCAATATGGACTTCTATTACCAAAAATTATGTCCAAATAGTTATGACCCGCCCTGTATATTTACCTGTAGGCGCGGTGGTTGCGACTCGGCTCTATCAGGGCCTCGAATTCCGTGAACAATTTCCGGAATTTTGATGGTAATTTGTCCCAAGTGTTCGATAAACGGGATACCGCCACGTTGCTCAGTCCCATCACTATTGCGCAGAAGGCGTTCAGATTCTGGTATTCCTTGCAACTGCAGAAAATTGATCAGTATATTTTTGGTTGAATTGCAAATTGATCCCTGACCATAGAATCATTCGTTACTGTGTTCATCAATGGAATGCATTGATATATTGAAATACCTACACCACACTAATTTATTAATTGTCCCACCCCAGCGAGCACAAACATCCCTGGGATGTTTTGAAAATGTTGGCATGAAGATGTTATTTTGAGACGTAATATGCACTGACCAAAGAGGTCTTTGAAGGATATTGAAGTATTGTTTTTGTTCTTCTGTGGCATTTCTTTGTTTGCCTACTGAGAGGTATCCCTGGGATGTTTTGGGATGTTTTAGAAATGTAGGCATGAGGATGTTTTTTTGATGCGTAATATGCACTTCCTAAAGATGTCTTAGAAGGATATTGAAAGTATTGTTTTTGTTCTTTTGTGCCCTTTCTTTGTTTGCCCCACCACAACGTCTCATGCTTACGTCACAATACGATCAATTCTGATTTGTTTTCGATTTTGTTCTTCTTGTTCGCGTTTGCAGCGGGTCACGCTTACATCACGCTGCTAACGAACAGAAAGGAATTTGGTGAAGTTTATTGTGTTAGAAGACTTATTTAGTTTGTAATAATGACCATCAGATGCACGATGTGTTGTTCGGTGCCTCAGAGTGTAATCAATATATAAAAGTATGAATTCATCAATACACAGCTTCTCCGCAGTTGCAAAATTATGCATTGTGGAGAACATTTCAAAAATTGGGAAACCTATTTCCAATTATATGTCTGTGTGTTGTAAGCACTACTTAGAAACCGATTAAGAAGGTAACTTCATATCAAGAAAATATTTTTATGTTCAATCTGTTCAATCTATTTTTAATGCATTTTTTCATTCAAGGGAAATGGAATCCTAATGCAAAAGTTCATTTTGACAAAAGGCTTCAGAAAAGTACCTCGAAAATGTTTTTTTACAGCGATTTAATGTGCGCAAGACGCGTTGAAAATGTTCTGTTGTGTCCATGGAAAGGCTTTAAGAAGAACTAGGGAGAAGGTAGTTTTGTGACATATCAAGGACATCCCGATAATTGCCGCCTGCGGCGGACATTGACTGTTCTATAATAGTTCTATTCATGTGTGAACAGAACATCGCAGTGGAGGTTCAATGTCTCGAAATCTCGTACTTTTAACATCTCTGAGATGTTTTTGTGCTCGCTGGGACCGAGACATATAGGTTCGAATCCTAGTTAGGCCATGGATATGTTTGTATTTGTATGCTTATACCTAACCCCGCACAAGTTTCGACTTATGGGGCGTTTGGTTCCAGTGCTGGGACCAACGAGGTAATGCAATTAAAAAAAAAATCCGGCGCACCACAAAATTTTGCCTCTGTTGAAATATAAATAATTTTTTCTGCTTTGAACGATTTGAATTCGGATCACACTGTTCGCTAGGCCAGTCCTTCGGCTATAATTTCGTGATTTTTTTAAAACATGAGGTTCTTCACATTAAATCGCTACAGGGTGTTACCTGAAACTGTGCAAAATTTCGGAAACTTCAAAAGTGTCCCAAATGAAGAAGTTTTTTTTCAATTTTGACAGTAGAGGCATGTAGATGATCTCATCATCTTGGGATATTTCTCGGATTGTCTCCTTATCTCTTTAATTTACAGAGTGAACTCAAAAAATAAACTTTTTGGTTTTGCAGTCATAACTTCTTTCCTCGTCGACAGATTTTTTGAATCTCAGGCTCATTTTGGAGCTTAAACTTCAGATGAAGAGAAATATGAAGATCAGAATTGACTCAAGATGAACATTATACAGTGTGTCTGACTTCTAATGAAAGCACCCCCTGTATCTTCCGTAATTGTTGAGTTAGATGTGCTGAAAATACACATTATAACCAAGTGGAGTTGTCTCCAGTGATATAGACTGCTCGCCAACAGCCATGGAACCACCCACAAAATTTATTTTTTCTGAACTGAAAACTCTTGGAGATTATAAGTTCTTCGGAATACTTCCTCATGTCACAGAATTCTGTGCTTAGGCAATGAATGAATAGAGGTGACATAATTATATAACTGTGCGGTATATTTTCTTACTATGCAGCCAGTTTGATGAACTTCCTGAGTACAGCCACCCTTTTACCGAGACTGCTCGTCAAGCATATTTCGGTGACCACCCAGAATTGAATCTCGTTGAACCTTCGAAGAAATACATCCAAATTGGCTGTGATCTGCCCGAAATGGTGTCTGCCGAACGTGTGATAAAGAAGCTCATACTCATGAACACACCTGAAAATTTTTGACACTATTATTATTAATTATACTATATATGGTGTGTGAGGGTGGGTATGTTCCCAGACAACACATACACATCCATTGGATATCCATTTTCTGTCCATCTGTCCATCCGGTGACTGGATGTCCATGGGCATCCATTGGACATCCATTTTTATTCATTTATTTTTATTTTTTTGATAATCCACAAGCTTATACAATTTACAAAAAGAAAGTATAAAAATACAGAGCACGTACATATTATTGAATCTATGATGAGTGATGAGGAAGACTAACACAAAAAAATGTAGAAGGTTGAAACGAATGAAAAGATAAGGATTATGAAATAAGTGATCAACAGTTTTTTATCGCTATTTTGTACGATGGAAATCCATTATTAATCCAGCGGATATCGTCTTTGAAGAAAATCCTAAATTAAAGAAGTTCTATAATGTTAATCACTTAATAACATCACTCGGTACACTATTTTTTACGATTTACGTCTAATTATAGCTAGGTACTTGAAGTTGGTTCTCAATATTCATGATTTCCATTAAATTTTTAATTGAAACCATTCAAGGACCGTGTAAAGGCTTCATTGCGGCATTCAACTTCCGATGGAAAATAACGGCGTAAATAAGAAATACTTACTACAGTGTGTATCTGATTGACAAGCGAGGGGTCGTAGGTCGAGAGGTAAGTACTTAGCGATTTTTTGTACACCAGGGGGTAATGAATGCCTCAATTCACCGAAATTACCCTGCAATGCTCATTTTTCAGTCAACAATACCCCGCATTGCCCAACATTGCCCTCCAATGCCCAACATTGCCCCCGCAATGCCCAACAATGCCTTCCATCCAATGCCTAACAATGCCCCTAGTGCACTATATAACTATCTCTTTTCATTCCATGTGTTGAAGAGAGACATACTATATTGAAATGTGAAAACTGACTTATGTCTTTTACATAGTTCAAATTCATTTTAATGTCTTAGTGAATAAATCATCTGATGGGACGAGGAATAATGAATGATTATACATATTTTATTAAGAAACCACACATAACAAGCAGTCGAACATGAAACAAACATAGACGAACATTTTTTTTCTCTTATACTTGATAACTAATTAGTTATTCCTAAAGGTACTTCTTTAGACAGTATCACAATAATTCAGAGATCATAGTTTGGTAACAGGAACACTGGGCACATAAATCCAGATATTATAGGTAACAGTACTAAAATCTCGACTAAAATTGAACATTTTTTTTAGTTTATAGTAATTGAAAAAACGCAAACTCTGAATTCTTTCTTGAAACTAAAACAAAGTTAAGATTTTCTTGAACCAAAACCAGCTTGAACCTGAATATATATTTTGTTAAAGCATATCACACTGGATATAATTTTTTTATCGACTCCAAATATAGATTGGAAATGTTCACTTTATCCGCTCTTTTCAGGAGAAACGGAGAATTTTCCCCAAGTACAAGTGGTCCGTGAAAAATACATTCTGTTGGTATAGAATTTTCAATTTCTGATTTTTCTGGCCACTTGTTGGAATGTTTTCTGAAAACCTTATTCCAAATCTGTCTTGGGTATTTTTCATTACCAGTCCCAGATACCAGTTTTTATCAAATACCACTGCATAGAAATTATCAATTTATCTATTTCAGGATCGAAAACGTCAAGTTTTTTCATCATCCTATCTTCTTCTCGAACTTCTCCCAAAGAGTAGAATGACTCCACATCTGTGGAATCGTCTGAAACGATATCTGGTTCATCTTCTTCTTCTGAAGAATCTCCTATACATTCAGTTTCCTTTTTTTTAGTTTCTGTATTGTCAGCAGGTATTTTGGACTTTCTTTTTTGGACAGATATATAGAATATAGAGTTGAAACGCTGTATGCGATCGTTACTAATCCGTCCCTACCCCGCATTCAGAATAAGCCAGCATAATGATGATTTTTTTTATTATAATCATAGCTGTAGCCGGAGTTGATGACAGCATGACGCGATGCGAAACGCTTGAATGGCGCAATCAAAATGTGGGCGGAGGCATCACCTTGAACCATAGAACTGAATATAGTGACCTCGAACAGAAACGCAGGCGCGCGCAACAAATTAAGCCCAAACATTGCTCCACATTGCCCTTTCAGTGCTATTTCAATACCCCGCATTGCCTAACAATGCCTCACAATACCTTGCAATGCCCATCAATACCCTGCAGTGCCCGACAATGCCTCGCATTGCCCCGCAATGCCCCACACTGCCTCGCATTGCCCCGCAATGCCCCACACTGCCTCGCATTGCCCCGCAATACCCCTAAGTTGTACACCGGATTGCCCCATGTACTTACCCCTCGTCGTAGGTTCACTCTCCTCGACGAGAATCTTGTTTTTTATTTTTCGTCTTGGACAAAATTTGGATATTCAACGGAAATCCACCGGATGTGTAAATGGGTATCCATTGGACTTTCAATGGAAGTCCAATAATTTGTTTCGGAATGAACCATCCAGTGGATGTCTATTGGACAGATACTGAATTATGCTGTACATCCAATGGATGTCCAATGGATGTCCAAAGAAATTACTTGTGCTGTCTGGATAAGGTGCTGTTTATGGCTGTTTTTGGGTATTTTTGATAGGATGCGGGAGTGTGTGTGTTAATTCTAACGTACCAGAAAAGGTCCCAGTCGAACAAAGTGATGTAGTATGCGAGCTCCTTCGTACTGAACATTTCGATGTCTCCATCAATTCCTTGGGTGGGCTCTTCTTGTTCACTGAGGCATGTCTGAAAAGCAAATAAAATACCCTCTGATTTGTGAGTTTTATTAGCGAGTTTGATGCGAGTTTACTAACACCATATTCCATTCGTTGTAGTGGGCTTTCCTCATCTTTATTTATCATGCGAGTCATCGATCAAGGATAGAAATACACTGAGTAGGTACACAATTTCAGTCCAGTGAAAGACGGGATAACTTTCTGGCGTTGAAAATCCAGTTTTGAATTATGTGATGACAAAGTTGTGTTGATGAATACACGACATGGAAAATATTAGTAGCTTCGTTATCAATATTTTTTCTCCGATTGGCAGCAAATATTAATTTTGCTGACACATATCAATCAGCAAAGTATTACTTTTCCTGCCTAGGCAGCAAAGTGGTTACTTTGCTGATTGATATGTATCAGCAAAATTGATAATCCATAAATCGTTTATAATTTCCTTCATATTTCATCCGAGACCTCTCCAGCAACAAATTCAACTCTATATTTTTTGCCACCTCCCTTATTTCTGGAGGTGTAAGTACTTCCAGGTCGCTATCACTGTCCATTATGTAATAATTTAAATATACCGATATTTTTTCGCATAACTGTCAGAAATTTCATGAATTGTCAAACTATAATTATTATGGACATTTCCATAGAATAGAATAGAATAGAATAGAATACTTTATTTTACCACATTACGTACACTGTACATTTGTAGCAGGTCAAGGAGTTAGAACTATAAAAAATAGAACTGTATATAAAATGAAGTTAAAAGACAAACAATAAAAGGTTAAAAGACAAACAATATGAAAATATTGATACAGATTAAAAATAGAGAAAAATATGAAAAAAAATATAAAATACAGGTACATATTGATAGCGACTTCATCCATATTAATACTCAAGCCAGTAGTTTCTCATGATCAGTCTGAAAATATTCTTCCAGTGAGTAGAAGCAATGTTCCAGGAGATATTGCTTTATTTTATTCTTAAATTTGATGAAACAGAACATAGCAACCAACCATTCCAACAACTGCGATTTCTATCAAATTTTATTTTAATTGAACACTACAGGAAAAATAAAGAGCAAAGTAGATTGACTGCCTTAGCTGAATTCCTATACCACGCTACGCTCGGCTATGAATTCAGCCTCGGCAGTCAATCTACTACTTTGCTGCCTAGTTAAACAAATAACTATTTCATGTCGTGTATTTATAAACACACTATCAACTTTTTTTAGCCTGGCTATCTTTAAAAGTTCTTACAGTTTTTTAAACTACTACTATTAATTTCTCAACACTTCACACCATAGTGATTCTCACGTTGATTTCAGTCATTCCAATTGTCTTGAAGTGTCGTCGGTATACTAAATATTTTTTTTCTGTGACGGGAAAGAAGTTAGGCATTTCATCTCTGTTGGCAGGTTATAAAATGTCACTTTTCATAAATAATTTTTTTCCCGTGGGAAAATAGTGAGTACTTTTTTCCCGGATATATATCACATATACACACTGTTGATGGCTTTTGTTGTGCTATAGTTCCGAAAAAATGAGTCAATAATACCGTCTCCGAGAAAGAACTGCAAGTCCTTGTATCTTCCATTCGACTGGGCGGTTACGTATTTAGACTGACAGAAGTGACATCGAATATTCGATTACTTCGAAAGAATGATAAAAATGCCTACAACGCAGGTGTCCCTACTGTTAAAAACTTACAATTTCACGTCGATAATTTTCATAGTTCAAAATAATGTAATATCTTCTCAATATTGATTCGTCTTTTCTTCTGTCACAGAAAAAAATAGTGTATTATACACGGGAAAAATATTAGATTTTAGCTCACGGTTTTTTGTCTCCCTCCGCTACGCGTCGGAAGACAACACAACCTGGAGCTAAAATCTACTACTTTTTCCCTTGTATGATAAATAACTATTTTTAAATTTCTTGTCAAATATTCAAATCGACATTCTCTCGTTAAATAGAATATGTTGGGAATATTCGTTGGAGAGTACCATATTGCTGGGTTCGTTATCAAAATCACCTTGCACTGGTGGAGCGGTAGCTCAATCTTCATTACTGACGACAAATTTTACAGAAATGATGTAATAGTATTCGGGCTAATGTATTACGTGAGAATACTTTTTGAACGAAAGAGTCTATATAGAAGGTATCACGATGAATGAAGGTATCATTGAGAAATGTCGAAAAGTACGTAATTTTCAAAGAACTATAGATTATTGGTGCAAAACGGTTCAAACTCGATGATAAAGGCATTACCCACATATTGAAACACGAAATGAAACAAGATTCTATAAATTTTCTATTATTCATCCCCCTTCGAATTCTTCATATTCTGCATATTTTTTATAAAACTTTGCCTTTTTCGATTTATTTCATTACTGTACGATGTTTTCTGAAATAGTCGTAAAACACTTACAATAACCTATCAATATATCAGTGGAAATTACGACATTCGTTCTGAAACGATCTTGTGCTATTACATCGATCAATGTATCCTGTTCTGAAATTTCAGTAATCACCCATCGGATGACTTGTCGATGATTACGTTTACCCTGGAACGACATTGGGGCAAATATTTGCAATTAGAAGTGCCAAGATATTACCCTCTTGTGACAGCATTGGCGTACAGACAAATATTTTCACAAAAAAAAGAGAAATTCTAGGAGTAGATGTCATGAGCGAAATTAAAGCAGCAAACTGGAGAATGTCAATGATATTTTCATCAGGAAAAATAGTATCACAAGTAGTATTCGTATGAGTATTTTATGATTGAGACAATGAAAGAGCGCTCTGAACATGATTGTATCGTTTTAACTTTCACAAATTTCATCGCTGGAAAAAGAAGCTGGTTCTGTATTGGTAGACCAAGTCCGATAAAATTTAGTGAACAAAAACTATCGCTGTGAAACAAAAGAAACCGTAAAAATGGTCGATTCTGATTGATTCTCGAGAACAATAATGGAATAGTCTAAAATGAACGGTGTTGTCAACAATGATAAAACGAAATATGTTCTCACCAACGCATCCAAATGGTCCTTGGGCGACACGAATATCCTCCCGTTGAGGGTCAGTGCAGTAGGAATGCTGATATCGTCGTCCCTGCAAACGACCCTTTCCCCAGTGGACTTGACCTCTACCAGCAACAATTCCTCGCCTGTCCTCATCTTCAATTTTTCCGCTGCCACCAGCTTTATCGCCTCTGCCGTGGTATCCACTGGTAGCCTCAAGGTGCAATAAGTATGATCGGCGCAGTACACACGGAAAATGACTAGAAATGAGCCAATTCAACCATATAGAATAGGTCCCCAACAAGAATATATAGTTTCATTCAAGAGAAATATAGTATTAGATCTTCTCTATCCGGTTTTTTTTACCCACATCTGCTATAAAGATTGTTTGCCCAGTCGTTACAATTATGATGGATTTATGCATAAGTCTTTAGCTTTAAGTCCTGAGTTTTGAGTCACAATTGTTTTAAGTCGTAAGGGGAAAATGGCGATTCATGCAGCAATCATATGGACTGTCATATCATAAGGAAAGCAACCCTTCAATAGCTCATTTTACTCATTGTTCACTAGTTTTATACATGATTGAGGTAACACAATAGATTTTTTTTATTATTCAGCAGTAATGAATATTCGTTGTGGATTTGATTTGATTAAAAAAGATGTGTGACGAATTGAATAAAGTGAAAATAAAGGGCGAAGTTCAGCTCATTCAGCGAAAACTTCACTGAATGAGTTGTTCTTTCACTTAACCCAAAAAAATGTCTTTGAAGGTCTATTTAGGAATACAAACAAAATAACCGATCGGAAAAATATCAGAAGAAAGAAAAAAAATATATATAAATGTGTATCTCGATTAATAAGGTACTATAATAATCAATTGAAAGAGAAAATTGGGAAATAATATAAAATCAGTTACATTGTATGATCTCTGGCTAAATGAACGTGTAAACTTTTGTGTTCTGAAGATAGGTGGTGTGAGAGTAACGTTGAATCTGATATTCAAGTTGTGGACATCCCTTCTGTGAATAACCTTTCGATGCAGATAAGATGGCAGTTTTGTTGTGAGAATGTTATGGAATAAACAAGGATCGTGAAGAAGTCTTCTGTTTTCCATATTCAACCAGCCTGTCTGGAGTAGCTTCTGTGAAATACTTTCACGCTTTCTGATCCCGTAAATCAATTGTAGACAAGAGTTTTGTACTTTTTGAATTCTGTTTTTATATGTATAAGTCAAATTAGAGCCATACAGGGTATCGGCATAGTTGAATAAGGATAAAACAAGTGATTCAGTCAATATACATTTTACCGTGGTTGTTAAAGAATTTCGATTGACATACAGAGTGGGCCTTTGAAAACGAAACAGAGGCTCTGTAGGTCGCCAAAACCGGATTATCAAAAAAAACTGAAACAGGTCAACTACATTTTCGAGGGGGACATCTTTCTAAAATATTTCCAGCCCTGCGGCGTTGCCGCTTCTAAAGAAAAGAAGCAACAACTTTGTTATTTCAAATGGAACACCTTGTATTTTATTGCATTTTTAGATTCTCCCCGAAGAGCTGATTTCATCAATGCATCACACTTAGGGTCTAGCTGTAATGGTTTCAGGGATATAAAGTGTTCAAAATCGAGATTTTTCAACTTTAACATTTTTTTGTGTCGAAACTATTCATTATTGGTCAAAACGGCTCTCATGTCCCGATCTCAACTTGTGATTTACTATCTACCGACATTTATTTGAAACAAATACAGGGTGGTTCAAGATTCAGAATTCTGATCACCCTGTATCTGTTCCAGTTGAATGTCAGTAGATAGTAAATCACAAGTTGAGATAGGGACATGAGAGCCGTTCCGACCAATAATGAATAGTTTCGACACTGAAAAATCTCGATTTTGAACACTTTATATCCCTGAAACCATTACAGCTAGACCCCAAGTGTGATGCATTGATGAAATCAGCTCTTCGGGGAGAATCTAAAAATGCAATGAAATACAAGGTGTTCCATTTGAAATAACAAAGTTGTTGCTTCTTTTCGTTAGCAGCGGCAACGCCGCAGGGCTGAAAATATTGTAGGACGATGTCCCCCTCGAAAACGTAGTTGACGTGTTTCAGATTCTTTTCATAATCCGGTTTTGGCGACCTACAGAGCCTCTGTTTCGTTTTCAGTTTTAAGGATGAATATACACGTTGTATGAGTTTATTGACATTTTTTCAAACCCCAGATCCACATCAAGTAAAACACCAAGACTGATCATCGTGAATTTTTATATCAATATCATCTGCAATTCGACGTCCATTTTTAGTAGTGAATATCATATTTGACTATTACATAGAGAATGCGAATTCTCGATCAATGTATTGGTTTATATATGCATGTAATATATCCATTTTTCATGTTCATAATTATATCTGAGAATATTCCTTTTCAATAGAGAGTTTAGTTGAAATGATCAATATCGAGTCGAAGGACTTTTTGTTTGAACACTCTGTACGTTACTTCAATTCAATACTACTGTGCAATATCTATTCTATGATTTCCGTTGACGACGAAATTGTATTTTCTGTACTCTCTCATATTTCAGAGTTCGTCTGTTACGGAAGAAATTTTATCGGATCTTGAATCTCCGGGGAAATAAACATATAAAGACGGACTTACTGTCATCCTGAGGCATTATGATCGTCCTGTTAGTGTCATCTCCGGAGCTGAACAAGCTGATTGGTTGTCCTAGTGGTGGCAACTTCCATTTTTGGCCTTCGTGAGCTTTCCTATCCTCGTTATACCTAGTGAAATAGAGGAGAGATTGAGCTGAGGATTTCACTCACCTCAAAATTCTAACACATTCTAATCAATCGCAAAGCAGATAACACTTTTTTCATTATATTAGTTAGATTGATACTGATGACAGTTGATTATATACAGTGTCCGCTATATTGTCTGGGAAAAAGTTGATTCGGGGAATTTATTCGAAAGCGAATAATGTAGGTAACAGAGCAGTGTGGGTCCTGGCAAGAACAATTTCATTCTTCAATTTCTAGTGCTATCTGGAAATGAGAAAGTTCAGGCATCATTGTCAAAATACAATAAAAACAAAAATGTTCCACTACGGTCAAGCTGAACAAATAGAGGTAGGTAAATTGTAAAGTAATTATTTTTCATTTATATTCACAGGGAAATAATAGTTATCTTGGAATTATATAAGTGAGACGTACGTATTATCTAGATTCCGACGTCACATTGACTACTCATTGATGTAACAATAATATAACTAGTAGGACAACCCCACTTGCCGCAGATGTGGGGAAGACGAGGAAAGGTCACTCCTTTTTCTCGGCGAGTGCGAGGCGTACGGATGAAGGCTGAGATTTGAAATCTTTGGAGTAGACAAACTCCAACAGGAGGACTTGATTATATTAGAGTGGACGGACATACTGGCCTCCATCAGAAGGTCAGGGAAATCTAGGTGAAGGAATCGTAGATATGTGGAGAGCAGGGGTTAGCAAAAAGGGCCCATCGGGGCCTACTTGCTTGGCTACAGCCTCCCCATCTACTACTAGTACTACTTACTAGTATAAGGACGGGTCTAAAACACCCGAGGGTACTGGAGCAGGAGTCTTTGGGCCTCGCACCAAATACTTCGAATCCATGGGACATTTTTCTAGCGGAAATACACGCCATAGGAGGATGCATCCAGTTCAACCTAGACAGGAAATACCGGAAAAAGGACATCGCGATTTTATCCGATAGCCAAGCAGCCATCAAAGCGTTGAGCTCTCCTTACATTAACTCGAAGATGGTATGGGAATGCCTAAGCAAATTGAATAAGCTAGGCAGCAACAATAAAGTGATCCTCCTCTGGGTGCCAGGGCATATTGGAGTAGAGGGGAATGAACGAGCAGACACTCTGGCACGACAAGGGGCTTCAACACCACTGATCGGACCAGAGCCATTCTGCGGCCTTGGAAATTCCTATTTCCAAGGAGAACTTGAGAAGGCGGAAGGAGCCTGGAGAACCAGACAATGTAGAAGACTTCCAGGACTACGGCAGGCTGAAGATCTCCTTGGAAATTTCAACCGAGAAAGATCTAAGACACTGACAAACCTCAGCAAAGGAAGTCTCAAAGCAATAACGGGATTTCTTACGGGGCATTGCAGACTCACAGAACACCTAAGGAAGATAGGCTTACAGGAGGACGGCACCTGCAGATTCTGTGAGGAAGAACCAGAAACACCCCATCACATACTGATGGAGTGTGACGCTGTACATCACAAACGATTGAACATACTGGGAACACACCAGCTGATTGTGGAAGAAATACTATAGCTAGACCCCCTCAAAATCCTCAAATTCCTGAAGGAATTGAATCTCGAGGGGCTGCTATGAACAAGAAATCCTTGATATAGCAGAAGCAGATGGGGCACAATAGATCTAATTAGGTCGCAGCACATCTGTCACCATCCAACCTACCAATACCAATACCAATACCAATACCAATTGCATAGAAGTGATGTAACGTATATGATGTATCGTGAAATGGACATTCTGCACAGTTAACTCATGAATTTTGAACGTACTCATTACCTCTTTTGTTACCGAACTGATAAACGAAATTATGCAATGTTTATACGTTAGTTACGTACGGAAAACCGATTATTTCTGAAGGCAAGTACTTTTCGTCCGCAGACACTTACTTTTCGTCCGCGAACACTTCTTGTCCGCTACAGGGTTGCCAATTTCACTGAATTTTCAGTAGATCTAATTTGCATATTGATCTACTGATGTACTGCAACATTTCATACTCTCTCTACTGAAGAATATTTTGACACTTATCCATTATCATAATCACCTATATATAATCATTGATCTTTAGTTGATCACATACACTTATAATTTGCATGATATTTAGGCTCGCTTCAAATTAATTTCCCGAAATAACTAATGAATGTACATACATATAGGTACTAATGATATGTATAAACCAAAAAAGGACAATACTTTATCTGATTTAGTGATATTTGTGAGTATTCTTGAATTGAGAATAACGAATATGATTATTTTCGTATGATAATGTTTGTTTTGTTTGTCTCTATTTTGTTGGAAATAGGTTACTTTTCTGTTTACCAAAAGTACATAATGTGTTTCCGCCATGGAGTTAATACTAGACAGAAATATGATTTTTATATCCCTTTCAGTAGGTTGAATGTAACGAAAAATTTGCCAAATATCACGGCAACGAAAATTTTTAACGCTCTACCTAATGAAATAAAACAGTGTAAGACCTCAAATTGTTTTAAAAGATCCCTTATAGTGTTGTTAGAGGAACATTCGTATTACTCCGTCGATGGATATTTTTCTCAAGTACTTTGATTCATATATGACGTTTTATGCATATACTGTATACTGGTTTGCTTTGTGATTTTGATGATTACCTCTACAATACCAACTATCATTTCATACGTATCAAGTCTAATACTATCTTTTATTGCTGTTTTACATGACTATTGTATTGTATTATCCATATTCACTTTCATGTTGTTTCGTATTAGATTTAGAGTCGTGTTTGAAGTCGACGAAAAAATGAAAGACAGTGTTTCATTCTTGGTACATAAATAACTATTTTTGGACGGGTACCTTCTTAGCTGTGATAGGACGTGGTGCATGAGAGACGCCTCTTCTTGCAGGGCGTTATATTGATTGGCTTCGTTTTCTAGTTCGTTGGCCAGTTCTTCCAGAAATTCCACCGCGATATCGTCCTCGAACACAGGATGCCTTATCGTTGTCACCCACTTGTAGATGAACTGGATAACACGTCTCTTACAAGCTAAAACGAACTCTCGATCCTGTTTCGTAACATCTATCCTATAAGTGTGATCGGTTAAGAAAAACAGAATTCAAGTGAGAGAAGATACTCTCAAAATTCTTCCCCCCTCCACTTCCTTCCCTAGAGCATTACAACAGTGAGATTGAAAGAATGAGAAAATAAACAAACAAAAAAATTATAAGAGCCGCTTCACATATCGCAATATTCCAAAAAAATGCAATAATTTTCAGTGCTTGCTTATATGATCTTGGCATTTGTGAAGTATACATGCTTTCTCGCTAGTACAATTGAAATTCTAAGTCATGCCCTCCTGAACATCAACTGCTATCATATTCGTGAAGATCCTCAGTGTGTGTGACGCGCTCTGAGCTGTGTGGTGTTGAGGTCTTGATCTGTTATTCTTCTGAAGGAGATAATGAAATACATAACTCTCTCAGAACAGTACATAGTTGTTGACATCATAAACATGATTCTTTTCCACTTCCGATGATACTCGAAGTGGAAGAAAAGTGACGTTCAATGAGTATAAAAGTTAATTTCAATTACGCTTCTCTATATTCATCACTGAAGAAGAAAAGAGTGTACCAGAGCATTTGATGGACCGTTTTTCTCAGCGCATGATTCTGATAAACCCGGTATCTTCTGTCTCAATATTTGTCGTCAGCCTTATCTTTTTGTGATTCCTTGATTCATCATACCTATACAATGAAGTTCTGAATGCACGAGTTTTTGTCTTTTTACCAAGTTTATCAATTTTCAGAGAACGATATAAGTAATTTTTTATAGTACCTAGCTAATAACTGGTAACTAAGTCAGTAATGACAAGTGAATAAGTCCCTAATCGCAAATGAATAAGTCACTAATGATAAGTGAATAAGTCACTAATGACAAGTGCATGAGTCACTTATGACAACTGCTGTGTTCACTAACGGCTATCAATCTGAAATTCAATGGAACAGAAACAGGAGAAAAGAAGAAGCTTCATAGGAAAAAAAACATTTTCCCAACCAAAGAAAAGGAAATTGATAACTTGTTTCGAGAAAAGGATATTATCTATCTAATTCTTCTAGCAGCTGATGCGTCGGCATGAAGACAATGTGGGTGAGAAGAAAATCGTCCAAAAAAGGATCTTGAGCAGTGCTGACGATGAAATGTTCCCCTCCATTGCTTCCTCCACGTCCGTCCAGTCTTGTTTCTAGAAGATGCTCCAGCATCTTTTGCGGTGTACCCGCCATCACAGTATATCTGTAGGTATTGAAAAAAAAATAGAATACATTTTTGCGAGTATCTACTGTGATGAAACAATCAATTGAAAAACAAAAAAATTGTAAAAGAAATAGAAAATTCAACAGTTGAAGCAAACAAATTTTCTCCAAATTCTGTTTTGCAGTGAAACATTTCAACTCTCTGATAGTAGATCCAGACAGCATATAATCGATTCACTTGAAATTTATTACTCAATTTTGATGAGAACGTGGAAAACAAAACGATAAAAAATATTTCCTATTCCTAAATAATAAAAGTTTTTGTTAAAACCTATTTGTAAATACATCCACGTTCGTAAACTAGGCTGATGAAGCTTTATTTTTATTTGAAGATCTATTAAATTTCTGCACCGAGAGTTGTCTAGTAATGGAAAATTTAATGAAAAATGGTTGTTTACTTGAAATGAGAAGAGAACACTTGTTTCGTGTTCGTATTAATCTTCTCCAGTATCAGAACGTCTTTGCCGTGTTCTTTCAGTCTCACAGTGTTGGCCTCAACATCCCTCAAGATTCTGTTGAAGTTTTCCTTATCGACTCTCATGAAGTGGCAGTTGTTTTCCCTTAAAACTATCGTAGCCGCCCTGAAACCCAATGAAATCGATATCGGATCAGTATTTTTACAATGATTAATTGCTCCAACTACAGTGGCGGTTAGGGTATAAACGCTGCAGTGCAATATAAATACAGAGAAGTGCACAAAATCAATCGCCTATTCAGCAGCGCCATCCTTTAGTACGCCACTCCATCAGAATGCAATCAGTCACTCGTATTTGTATCAAAAATTATGTAGTTTTTGTCGGCGAGATGTAAGCAAACAAAGAATAGTTTGATAGCAATGCAAAGGATGTTGGCGAATTTGGCTTCACTTTGTTGAATAATGTATATTAATGCATTCTTTGTCACCCAACAAAAATCTAAATAGCAATATATTGAAAAATTTTCTAAATGACGAAGCTCACCAAATTGGTACGTCACACTGACGTGATTTTTAGACGTCATAGATACGTCCATCACTGCAACGTCATAAGAGTAACGGTTTCGATATAGGTATACCTAATCAATCATTTCTATATATACAAACCTTGTTGGTTTTCGAGATATACAGTGTGTCAAAGTTTTTTAGAAACAAGTTTTTCTACTACTTTTCGGGTATATCAATAATTAGAATAAAACTTGCATGTTGATTTGCTTTCATGAGTTACACTTCTGTTTCACATGATAATATATAAGTATCCATGGTTTGGAGAAGGTCTGGGAAAAATGGACGTCGACAGGACGTCCCTGCAACGTCATGAAACTGACGTCTTCTTATACCCATCCAAGTGACGTCCACTCGACGTCGAAACGATGACGTGATTATCACGTCATAGAAAGTACGTCATAGTGATGTCATAAATTGGTGTGTGACGTCTCTGACGAAAAATCACCAATTATAGGGACGTCACAGTGACGTGATCATTCGTCATCTGGTTGCCTGGGGTGTTAACGATATACCGGGTTCCATAGGGTTATTTCAAACGATTACAGAGATATTTGCGTTCGAAGTTTCCGTATGCCCAATGGGTGTGCAATATCAAAACTACTTTTTTTGTCACACTCATATATGGAAACTTGAAACGGGAATATCTGCGTAATCGTTTGAAATAACCCTATCAATCCCAGTATCGATGAATTCGTTATGACAATCCCTAACCGATTATGGAATACAATACAGGGTTTCCCATTCAAAAATCGAAAGTTGGAGTCGTTTCCAGTATAACAGGAAGTGATAGAACAAAAATAGTTTCGTCAATTGATGAGCAATTTGGTATACTAGGTGCTCACCAATTTTCAAAACCCTATCTCGAATAATTCAAAAGTTACAGTCCTGGTCCTTTTTTGTGCACCTCTCTGTATGTCTGAAACAAAACCGTGATTTTAAGTGGACCGTCAACGACAATGTCGGATTGTGAGTAATGTTTCTTGTTCAGATACAGGGTGATCAGAGTTCTGAATCTTGAAGCACACTGTATTTTTCCCAATTAAATTCCAGTAGATAGTTCATCAAAAGTTGGGACAGGGACATGTAAGCCGTTTTGAAAGATAATGAATAGTTTCTACACAAAAAAATCCTGATATTGAAAAATCTCGATTTTGAACACCCTATATCTCTGTAATCATTCCCGAGGGACCCCAAGTATGATGCATTGAAGAAATCAGCTCTTCAAGAAGAATTTAAAAATGCAATGAAATACAGGGTGTTCCATTTGAAATAACAAAGTTGCTAGTTGTTTCTGATAGAAGTGGCAAGACTGTATCGATGAAAATATTTTAGACGGATAGAGAATGTTCAATTATCAAAGCACCCAAATTTTCAGAATGTTCTGTCTCTTCGTTCTCCAGATACCTACTTCTAATAGGCCATCCACCGTGGACCACCCTGTATATGTATTCATTCTTCGTTTCGATTATTATTTGAACTGTGGGCCAAAAGAAGTCATCCGATGTTGTTTGGCTCTCATGTTTTTTCTAAATGAAAAGCCTCGGTTCTGTTTTTTGATTATTTTTATTTCAACCTTCAGAATTTTATCGGTCAAGTCGAGAAGATGATATCGGCCAAATGGGCGCCGCTACAATTGTTTGCTATAGGGGCTCATTTTATGCTTATTTCATCACTTCGGCGAGAACTTCGTGCGACAGATTGTCGCACTCGTGTCGAATGTTGTGCTTGACGGCTTCCAGGGTCTCGGGCTTGTTCATGTAAACACAGAACTTCAAAAACAAACATCAAAATGGTCTGGAACGGTTAAATCGGAAGATCTTGCGGGACAGTGCAAATCGCCAAAACGAGAGATGAGGCGATCCGGGAACGCCGCCTTCAGAAGTGTGTGCCGTTGCTTCGTCCTGTTGGAACCACATGCCCTCCAGTATTTCGTTCAATTGCAGCAGAAAAAACTCGGTTAATATGGCCCTATAGCGCGCACCGTCCACTGTTGTCGTTTGCCAGCGGCGCCGTCGAAAAAAATGGCCCGATGACTCCTACAGAGTGGACAGCGCACCATGCAGTCACTTTGAGCGGGTGTAATGGCTCCTTGTGCATCACTCATAGATTTTTGTTGCCCCAGAAGCGATAGTTCTGCCATTCCACGTCCCCGCTGAGGTGGAAATGAGCCTCGTCGCTCATTATGATTTTGGTCGAAAAATCGTCAACGAGATTGAGGATGGCTTGGCTTGGATTATTCCGCATTTTCGGGGAGTGTATCGCTCCATGGCTTGTTCACTTGTATTCTACATCTGTCTAGTTCACGAATGTCGAAACAGATTTGACATTGACCGACATTTGCAAAAATGATCATGAATCATGAATACTATCGTTGAAAACTGTGCTTCGACAAAACTTCTCACTATAACTATACTCTTATTCTTAGACTAACAAAAAATTCCACCCCTTAATTGAGATACCCTTATCAGCGATAGAGTTAAGCGGATGAGCAATCACAAACTATCACCCTCATGTAATAAATTCAATAAAATTACACATGCTGCTAGCTGAAAGCAAGTTAATATTCTGGTAAACATAACAGCCTAGCTCTATATAAGGTTGTATATTTAATGTCTAGAAATTGATAGCAGACGCTTACCTTGGAGCATCGTTGATGAGAGCTAATTTTCCAAAGTCATCCCCCTCATGCAGGGTGTTGACTGTTCCCTTGCCATGTATGACGACATCAACCGATCCGCGTACTATAATGTACCACGACCTACCTTCATCTCCTTGATGAAACACTAGAAGAAAAATTGTCAGATTGATCACCATAATGGACATTAAATGGGGAAATGATAAATTGAAAGAATTCCAATTTACATACAGTGTGTCCCACTTTGAGCAGCACCACCTTGGTATTTTCTTAATCGCTGACAGATTTCAAAAATTTTTTGTTTCAACATGTACTTCTCAATGAGTTCTACATTTCTGAGTATCCAACACTCTGATTGCACTACGACACGGCCAACTATGATAAATTGAAAATGCCTAAAATCAGTTAGTAATATCAGGAATTTTTTCAGCGGAAAACTGACATCCTCAACATGCTGAGAACTCGCTCAAATACATGATTGTGGTCAAATTTTCATGTTGATATCATATACAGGGCATTATTTATTGTCAATTAATTTTTGATGCTTGAAAACAATGAGAAAAGTATAATTAACATCATGATTTCATTCACATATTACTTAATAACACCTGTTTCATACTTTTCTTCATGACTCAGAGGATGACGTATGTATTGATATTTCAATTCAATTTTCATATTTTCTGTTTTTTTTCCTCAAGGCACGTACTTAACTTGAAAAAGTAATGGTTCAATTTAGTTTAGGTTTGATCATTTGCCGATAAGGCTTCAACTAGTTATTTCATCACAGAATGCGTGATGAAGAAGAAATCATCAAGTTTTTGAAATAACTACCCTCGAGTTCAGGATGACAAGAATATTTTATCAAGTTTCACTGATGGTATTACCCCAAAAAATATACCGATCCCATCAATTTTCACTCAAGGAGTTCACAAAATGATGATCAAGTCTGCCGTGGAAACGCAACTTTCAATTATCTTTCTTCAAAAAGAGAAATTCGTAGTTCAAATATCATCCTGTGTATAAGGTCATTATGAAACATGTGTTTTTAAGTAGTATCTGAATGAAATCATGATGTTAATTATACTTTTCTCATCATTTTCAAGCATCAAAAATTAATCGACTATAAATAATGCCCTGTATATGATATCGACATGAAAATTTGACCACATGTATTTGAGGGTGTTCTCAACATGTTGAGAATGTCAGTTTTCCGCTGAAAAAAATTCTGATATTACTAACTGATTTTAGGCATTTTCAATTTATCATAGTTGGCCGTGTCGTAGTGCAATCAGAGTGTTGGATACTCAGAAATGTAGAACTCATTGAGAAGTACTTGTTGAAACAAAACATTTTTGAAATCTGTCAGCGATTAAGAAAATACCAAGGTGGTGCTGCTCAAAGTGGGACACACTGTAGGTACTTACATACGGTACCAGCTTTCGGATGTGCTTCGAATACCATGATAGAAGCTAGTTCTCTTTTGACAGAATTGGACAGATGTGCTAGCGCTCTGATATGGAGAAGTTCCTCATAAATTATTTCTTGATCATCTGCAGTTCGCTCATGGCTCCTATCAAAGTTCAAAAACAAAGTCAGACAAACTACATAATATTCCCTTCAAACTTTCAATTGAGTTTCTTATTCCACAGGAATTATTATCTATGATATTGTCACGTAGGAGGGGGAATCATATAATATGATTATGTCAGATCCAAGATTCTGGAGCATTAATCCAGTTTTCCTAACTTAAACATCCACTAGATAATTTATTCATAAGTTATAAGTTCGACAAAGTTTCGAATTGCTATTTACACGAAACTAACAAGCTTATCAATATCGACAGCTATGACGATTCCGATACTAAGAAAAACTGCGAGCCAAGTTCCTCGATCCAACATGAATAGTAGAGGAATCGATATCAATTAATCTTCAATCGTTGGTCTTACTTCGACTAGTTGACTTGATTTTTAATTTCTTACTTTCCAAAGTGATACTATATGTCACATGTGACGTCTCTCCGGTTTTGCTGCCTCTATTATAATAGTTGGAGAACCAGCTGCAAATTTCAACCTTCATCTGATAACGAAATGATATACAGGGTGTTGGTGAAAAACTGCGACAAACCTTAGAGGGTGATCCTTGTGATATTTAAGGAAATAAAGTCCATATAAACCTGTGTCCTAACTTGCTCCGTTTTTGATATACAGGATGTTGAAGTTGGAAGTATTGATTGTTTTTATTTATAACGCCCCTGTACAAGCTTTCATTGATTTAGGACTCTAACGACACAGTAGATAGTAATTGAATGCCAATAATTCATTATCAGTGCACTCGCCTTTTGCGTTAATCGAAATAATCGTTCGCATTAGGTTTTTGGCGCCACTAGATGGCGATAACATGACTAGATCTATACCTTTTCAACTTCAATTTCGGAAAAAGTAATCTCGATTTCAGAATTGGTTGGTTCGATTTCAGAAATGGTGAACTCAATTTCAGAATCGGTGAGATGAATTTCAGAAAAAGTCCATTCAATTTCAGAAATGGTAAGTTGTATTTCAGAATTATTATTGGTAGGTTCAATTCCAGAAGATGAAATCCTTTTATATGTTTGAAATGTTTTTAATTGCAAAAGAGAAGATTGTTTACAGTGGATGGAACGGTGTTCGAGAGCCCTATGTTGAATCAGATTGAACATATATGGGGTGCCTTCAAGTCAGAAGTGAAGAGCTTCTTGCAAGAGCATCGCCAAAGGGTCATAGCTGGAAATCCGAACAGATTGCTCAACTAGATAGAATTCCGATTGCGATGTCTTGGAGAATGTGCAGATCATTCAATGAAAATGATAACACCTCAAATGTGTTTGCATTCTTATAATCATGTGCAACGCCACTATCTTCCAGCGATTCAGATGGAAGGCATCTGTGGATTAAATTGTTTTTGAAAAGTTGAATATTTTCAATATGATTTGTTAATCTCACATGCAATTGGAAACATTTCGAACAAATATAAGGATTTTTTTTATGATATTGAACCTACCAATTCTGAAATACAACTCACCATTTCTGAAATTGAATGGACTTTTTCTGAAATTCATCTCACCGATTCTGAAATTGAGTTTACCATTTCTGAAATCGAACTAACCAATCCAGATTACATTTTCCGAAATATAACTTACCGATTCCGAAATTGAAGTTGAAAAGGTATAGACTAAACTATTTTCTGAAATTGTGATTTACCCCCTCCCTTTTCATTTGCTGGGGCAATCATGCAAGAGAGCTTATTCCATATAATTTCTTGTGATTAAACATTTTCATATGCTCCTCACACTATCACGGATAACCCCTCAAATATTTCCGAATAAAAAACCATTAAGGAATAGGAATACGATATTGAAAAAAGTTGTCTTTCTATTCAGAATCAGATGGTAGTCTATTTTTTTCAATATGTGATTCGAAACCCCCTATAGCAGAAAAACTGTTCATTTTTCAGGATTGTCACTCGATGATTTTCTAATCAGAATCATATGGACTACAGCATATCAAAAATTCAGCGAAATTCACCGATTTTTTTTTTATTTTCCAAATGGGGGTATTTGGTAGGGGGTAATGATGCAATGATGCGGTTTCCATAATTATCCGTGATGAAACATTTCCTATAAATTTTGACAGTTAGATGGAATTCTTTCTTTTTTTGGTTTTCAAAATAGGGGTTGGGGGTAATAATTCCCCCTCAATATATTTTTTTATAAGAATCTATTTTTAGAAGTAATTGAATGAAATAAAAAGTTTTGGAATATCGATCATCTTCTAGGAAATAAATGGTCAATTAGATGAAAATGTGAAATTCAAACCCCCCTGGCAAAAAAACTGTCCATTTTTGGGGGTTGGCTCATTGAGAATATTTCATAGAACCACATCTTTTTTTAATCGCTTGGAACGCACGAAAGGGAATCCCTATAATGTTCAAAGAACATCGTGCGTTCCTAGGGAGAATAGGGACAGGAGGTAGGTATTGGCATTTTTTTTGAACTTTTGGAGATTATATGTTGTTGGGAATACTTCCACAGGCAATGAATTCCACAGCCTAGCCGTTCTATGGATGAAGGAGTCTTGATAAAGTGCTGTTCGACATCTTTCGAGGTTGACAACGAAAGGATGTGCTGACTGAGCTTGTCTAGTTCGTCTGATTGGTATTGCTAGTGAAGGGATGATAGCAGAGATTTCCGAAGAACATTTCCCGTGGAAGTATCGATAGAAAAGTGACCTTTCTACGGTGTTCCAATGATGTCAAAGAGTGAGTGAGTGTGGCGTCACCCACCAGGCGAATGGCTCTTCTCTGGATGGAATCTAAGAGGATCAGCGTATGTTTTGGTGCTGAACCCCATATATGGGAACAGTATTCTAGAACAGGCCGTCTCTGCGCTTTGTAGATCATGAGAAGCTGATGTTGAGGTGTAAAGTAGCTTTTCGCACGGAACAAGAATCCGAGTTTTTGTGAAAAATCCACCAGGACCCAATTTACCTTAAAACTTTGCGGGGTCCTTTGCAGCCGACTCTTGGACTATAATGTGAGTACCAACAGCCCTTTCCAAATGTTTTTATTGTTCTTTACGTCACTCGATTTATGTTTTTGGCACATTTTTATGTTTTATGTTTATTGAGATTGTATAATATATTCGTTGTCTTTTCGGGAATAACTCTATTTAATTTTGTAGTGAATGTGGTTGGGTGAAATAATAAAATGCTCTTATAAATAGCCAAGCAAGTCCTGCTGAGTTGCGTCATGTGGTAAAGCAGGCCGATCAGAGTTGCCACAATATGAAATAAGGAGAAAAACGAAAAAATACACAATTCTCTCATACTATCAGACCTATTACTTTGTTTTCGTTTCCACGTCGCTCTGGTTTGAAACAAACAAGCCCTCTCATGAACAGAACACGAAAAGTATGTTCCCCTGAGGCATTCTTCTCCCTATCCTACGGAAATCGTCCAGTCTACTTACTGTTTCCTCAGAATCATTCTGAGGATGGCGTACGACCCCTTGTGGACAAGTATCCCCAAAGAGTCGTGAATCTGTGATTTACTAGTCTTATACCCAATGGATTTGTCTTCAGAATGAAGAGAACTGTATCCGAATATGTACAGTTATCGCGAGAATATTCAATGTTCAATGGGGAATTCCACTGAGAGGAGAAATCCGTGCAAACCTCTTTCAATCGACGAATCATGATTTACGTTTGATGTACAATCAATATTATGAGTTGAAGTTGGAGGGAATCGAATCTATATCTTGAAATCAGCATATTTCAAACAGCCAAATATGATGGTGGAGCCGTGACGTATTAGTCCCGAACTGTAGCTATTTCTCTCTGATACCTCGTCATTCTGCAGTGTAACAGTGTGATTGGTCAGTTCAAGGACAATAGGCGTGTTGGGACTAAGACGTCGCACGAGTCACACCAATGAATTGACCAAACTTCAAATGGCGCAGGAATTGTGTGTTTTGAAATGGGCATATTCTAATTTATTTTTTTCATCGTCTTAGCATGGATGACAAAATTCAAAATTAATTCGCTGCTAGTTTTTCAGTATATAGATCACGATTATGTCGTTTTAAAAAATCGGTGGTCTTCCCCATTCAATTAATCAGTGGCCACGTTTAAACCGTGTCTTATGGTAAGCTGACTAATAACTATATTTTGACTAAATACTGCTTGGTTCAACTGTATATTTGGTAAAGATACCAGCTTGGTTTGATATCGAAATTTGTTTCGTACCAGACTCAAACAATATGATGACCGAGACGGTGTAAACATTTTGGTCTTCTTATGTATAGCCTTGAATTGATATTTCATACAATTCCAGCTAATTTCGTATCCTACTAAAAGGTTGTATTCTTCATTCAAGAATTCAAGTGGAGTTCCACAACCCAATCCCAAAAAAATAATCAAATTAAAACAAAGTTGGAAACGTTAGTCAACTGAAGATACATGGTGTAAACATGCGTTTACTAAGGCATTTAGTCTGAATTCAGTTAAATCTCCATACCCACTATCCATACAGTATAAACGTGGCCAGTAATTTATATGCTATTGAAACTTTTAATCTAGTTTATTATCTTCCCAGGAATGGGCTACACTGGGCAATTGGCATTCAATTACTCCACTGTGTAATTGTGAGGGATCTACATTAATTTTTGCAATACTTCTCAAGCGTTTTTTATGCAGAATATTTCTCTCATATTCGAGATGTCTCATAAGAGTAATGCAATTATCGAATATTACAGCGGTTATTTTCAAATTTTGTAAAAGAGACCGAGTCCGAAAAAGAAGGGCTCTATCGCCAAAATATGAAAATAATCTCTTGCAATTTTTATCTGTCATTTCTTGCAAAAGGATGTTCTGGGAAACGACGGATACATATAGTGACGTCAGTTGTTGAGCTGTTTCGTTATTAGCCAGATAATCTTCCATTTCCACTCATGAAAAAAGGTTGTCAAGTCACCAATTAAAATCAAGTTTTTGAATTCCTATAGCCCTGTCCTTGATTGAATAACTATATCCAAATTGAATATTTCACTCGGCATAATAGCACCAAGCCATGGTATTATATCTAGTCATTTGTGACTATTTTGAACAAAACCAGCTTGTAAAAATATTTTTCATAATCTATAACAAAATAATGATGTAAATGTTAGCTGACTTAGCAACTGGTGCTGAATGCTGAGAACTGACAAGACAACGCCTACAAGTTGTGCGCCGTATCGTCACGTTCACCGATTCGAATGTCCTCTAATGTGAATCAATATAATTATTATTTACACAAATTTATTATAAGTAATAAGCCACGAATCATAAGGACACATTTTGAGACAATTGAATGTTTATTGCTAATTAGGAATATTACCAATACTAAATTGAGAATCTATGAATTATTGAATAACTGCCCCTACTTACGATATCGTGACGTCAATTTTTACTGGCGGTAAATTTCTAGCCGTTTGAAAATTACCGTGGCATTATTGATGGCACTTGAGAATTCTTCAAAAATATGAAATTGAAAGGTATTTTAGTGATGATTCTATTTTAGAAGTGTCCTCTGGAGTAATGATCTTGAATTGATCGTAATAAGCGTAGCAAACGAGGAGCAATAAAGTAGGTGAAACATCTCTGGTCCACTAACTTATTCGCTTTGGGCATGAACACACTGATCCCTCCGATGTTTCCTGTGGGATATTGAATTGTTGACTGAATGAATATACAATGTTCTATTTCCATTATGTTCGTGTATGTATGATTCCTTGAACCGCACAAGTTTCGATTAACAGGCGTTGGTCCCGGACAAACAAGGGAATGCAATGAAAAAAATATAACAAAAAAGAAACAGTAGAAACATCATCCCATTTACTCACTGTTTCCTGAGAATCATTCTGAGAATGGCGTCCGGTCCCTTGTGGACGAGTATCCCCAAAGAGTCGTGAATCTGCTCCTCAGCTGCAGCTACGTCCTCCAGAGTGGGAAGGGCAGTAGTGGCGCCATCTTCGTCCTGCCGGAAGCGGTACAGGAAGCACTTGTCCTTGAAGGGCTGCTCCTTGCTCACTGAGAATAACGATGTACTTATACAGTGTTTCCGAAAGTTGTTGGCCATACTGCTACGAACATGATGATAGGGCAATCATGATAAATGTTTTTCGAAATGTTTTTTAAGATTGCTCAGGCTTGATAACGTTGATCCTGAATACAACTGGGTGTTGCAGGTCAATAGTTATTTATTATACAAGGGAAAAAAGTAGTAGATTTCAGCTTCAGGTTGTGTTGTGACAAAAAACCGTGAGATAAAATCTAATATTTTTCCCGTGCATAATACACTATTTTTTCTGTAACAGAAGAAAGGACGAATCAGTATTGAGAAGATATCTCATTGTTTTGAAGTCTGAGAATTATCGACGTGAAATTTTAAGTTTTCTTCGTGGTCACTTTGGAGTCCTGCAGAACATCTCTTTCCAAAGACTCATTCATCCAACGAACAGCGAGGCTCTGGAGCACATTGCCAAGGGAGGTGTTTCCCGAGGCATATAACCTTCATAAATTCAATAGGAAACTCCAGACGACTCTCAGATTTGATTCGCTTCAGTGACTACGAATTATTTTGAGCAATCATTTCGACATTCGCTGTATCTCTGCACACGCATCATTCAAAGTTAAGGGGGTCGTAACTGGTCCCGTAGGAGACGTGAAAATATCCTTGGAGTTATGCTTGCGTAGACACAGCACTGATGCTGCCGAGCATTCCAAAATACAAACAATGTTAATAGCAACATTAGACGACACAGAAACTCAATTACGGTATCTCAAAGAAATGCCAGCTTCAGTAACGATAATGGAATAGCAGCTTCTTTTTCCTTCTCCCATAAATTGTCTTCAGCAATTTCCTCTTTCATATTTTCGGGGTGCTTTGTTTAGATTCCAAGTGTGAATAATGTCATTCCAGAATACGATATACGAAAGATTAAGAGTTCAACCTTCCTTTATGCATGATATGTCGCAGTGGAGTTACAGTATTTCTGCATGATTATTTTAAACTGATTTGTTTTTGTCTCTACAGCACTTTGTGTCTATAAGTACTCTCTTCATCTTATGCGTAAATGCAGCAGTATTATTTTTTTATGTTCTAGTTTCCACGAAAACGGATATTCTGTAATGTTCAGAGAACATCGTGAGAATCAAGGAGAAAGGGAGGAATAATTTTTGATATTTCAGAAGAGCATCGTCCATGAAGATATCTATAAAATAGAACCAGATCGCCAACTTTTCTACGGTGTTCCAGAGAAGTGAGCGAGTTTGTGAGCGAGGCATCACCCACGAGACGAATTGCCATTTGTCAGAATCCAACAGTTTCAGGGTATGTTTGGGTGCTGCACTCCAAATATGAGAACAGTATTCCAGGACAGGTCGGATCTGTGCCTTATAGATCATAAGCAGCTGAATGGAAGTGGAATAGCTCCTGGCCCGAAACAAGAAACCAAGTTTTTGGGATGCCCTTTTAGCAATTGATCTCAAGGTTATTGCTGATAGTAATACCAAGCATCGAAATGGATGTCTTCAAAGGTATGGTTACTCCTGACAATGATTGATGAGAACTAAAACCAGTAAAAAGCAATTACATAAAAATGCCATAATGTGATTGACGATCGATACTTGTCCCAAGTGTGCCAAGTGATCGCGCATCGGCATAGTATAACTACTGAACTTTCATTCAGAATTGAAAAAACCGAAAATCTAGATTCAACTTAGATATTTCTCATGATGAAATAGGTACCAACCTATAAAATTGATCTGCATTCATAATTTCCCAAAACATAATACTTTCGACTTTGTCAAAGGTTTGGTACGAAGCCAGCTGTATAACGATGTGTATAGAGTGTGTCCCACTTACCATGCTCACCATGGGTATCTCTTTAACGGTGAGAGATACGAGGTCGGCTAAATGATACCAAATGTGGAGTTTGTCAAGGCCAACTATAATGTGAAAAAATATTTTGATAAAATCTATTCGTTTTTGTTTTATACGCAAAAAACAGATTTTGATCATTTTCATGTCTCCTCCGTAACTTCTTCATTTATGAAAATATTCAAATAGGAATTTCACATTCTAATGGCAGTTTTTCAAAGTGATTTCGAGAAAAATATGAAATTTATACCAACTCTTCTAGAATTTGAGATATCTGCACCAACTTTAGTTTTTTAAATGTAGGTCATAGCTCACTATGACTTGGTTACAAATAACTTTTTTTTTCTCTTACACGAAAGGATATTTTCCAAATTATTCTCAAATATTACTACTACTATTATTATTATTTCACTGTTCTAATTTATCAAGTTTGTTATATTTCTCAGCAATTCAACTGTCCTCATTCGTGACAAAACATTTTTCAATGAAATAAACATTTGAGGTGATCGATCGGGATCCACGTACCAAGAGGGACTTGACTTCTGGTCCGAATAGCGGATGGTTGCTTGTGGCAACGGGGATGTCCCAATTGGGACATCCCCAAGTTTTCGTGTTAGATTATTGTAAGTACCATTTTTATTATTCATTAAATCTTCAACCCAATGCCTCTTCAAGGAATGTCAAAATTGTAACTTATCATTAATAAATCCTTATTTCCTTTCGTGGTTCAAACTTGAGTCCTTTTTTATTGAGCATCAACCCTCAGCAAATCCCAACTAGCAAAGGTAATAAGTCACATTCGTGACAATATGTGGCAGTAATAGTTTTGTGTTGATAACAACGGAGTTATCGTCATTTATACAAAAACAAAGAATTATTTGGAAGCCGCCGTCTTGAATTTATGAATTTTAACAAAAAAATCATCTCCGACCTCAAAACCCCCATTCACTAATTTTGATGGTACCGGACCAAATCTTGTCCGCCATCTTGGAGCAGCCATTTTCTTTAATTTCAACAAAAATTCCATAATGTATTGTCACCGAAGTTATGAACACCTGCCAAATTTCAAGTTAATCGTTATGAGTTATGAAATTTTTGCTGAAATTGAAAAAAATGGCTGCTCCAAGATAGCGGACAAGATTTGGTCCGATTCCATTCAAAATTGGTAAATGGGGGTTTTTTAGGTCGGATATCATGATTTTTTTGTTAAAATTCATAAATTCAAGATGGCGGCTTCCAAATTTTTTTTTTTTATAAACTCCGTTTTTATCAACACGAAACTATTACTGCGACATATCATCTGTAAGAGAAAAAAAAGTTATTTGTAACCAAGTCATAGTGAGCTATGACCTACATGTAAAAAACTAAAGTTGGTGCTGATATCTCAAATTCTAGAAGTGTTGGTATAAATTTCATATTTTTCTCGAAATCACTTCGAAAAACTGCCATGAGAATGTGAAATTCCTATTCGAATATTTTCATAAATAAAGAAGTTACGGAGGAGACATGAAAATTAACAAAATCTGTTTTTTGCGTATAAAACATAAACGAATAGATTTTATCAAAATATTTTTTCACATTATAGTTGGCCTTGACAAACTCCACATTTGGTGTCATTTAACCGACCTCGTATCTCTCACCGTTAAAAAGATACCCATGGTGAGCATGGTAAGTGGGACACACTGTATTCACAATGAAGTCAATGGTAACTCACCGTGTGAAATGACACCTTCTTCCAGTAGAGCTTGCCACATTCCAGTAGCTTGAGCCCTGGTGTGTACACTCGGAGACGAATTCAGGAGCCAATCCACCAATTCTGTACCGGGAGCACATCGTCTTACTAGTCGTCCAGATACTTTTCTGTCCTTCAAGCACGTGTTTTGAGCTGAAAATTATCAATAATGACATCCACACTGCCCTCATTTCTTTCTTCGTTGTGAATGGAACGAAACAGTGACGAAGTTAGGAGTTGGGGGCTAGCTCATTCCATAGAAAATTTGTGAGAGTTTAGTCGTTGAGTAGTTTCCATATTTCCCAATATATCAAAAATATCGATCATCAGGAATTACTGGACGAATTTTTAAGACAATTTGAATATTGAAACGTATCCTGAATTTGTAATTGCACCTTCTGTCACTGTAATATAATCCCAATGTCCTGAGTCTTAAGCATGGGTGTCATTTGGGGGGGGGGCAGGAGAGGCGATTATCCCCCCTCCTCCAGATTTTCAACGAAATGATAATTATAATGTTGATGATAGAGATGGGGAGCCCTAATTTCGAGTGACAATGGAAAATGAAAAAACTCCACCGCGCCGTGTGAGAGTCGAACTCACAACCTCTGGGTTACATGCCCAATGCTCTGCCAATTGAGCTAACGGGACATCCTTCGAACAATCGGCAGGAAGGTAGGGTTCTCATCACATACCAGGCGGCGATTTTACTAAATATACTGCACGCTAGCACAAACCACGCCCACCATAATACGTCATATCTCCAAACATTACCGATATACTCGGAGTCAGCACATCTCACTAAATATACTTTGCTCCAACGCAAGAATACACTTTTTATGATTTTGACACGAATTCGACTGAAGCTCTCTCGTTGTCAATCTCTTGTACGCAGTAAATTCATATACCCAAATGGTCTACTGGTTAGCGCTGTCGACTTCCAGTCTGAAGGTCAATGGTTCGAATCGCTGTGAACTTGAACTTTTTTTTGCAACTTTTTTTTTCACCAATGTTTTTTTTACTTCATTCTGGTTTTCCTTTTTCATAAAATATTTGAAGTCAAATAGGTTAGTGCGTTTAGGATAAACAGTCTCATTTTATTCAATTTTGTTGAAGAACTCAACTTTTGAAATATATTTTTAATCAATGTGTTTCTACACTCCATTCGGTTTTCCTTCCTCAAAAATATTGCAATCAGGGATAGGTTAGTTCGTTGAGGATAAATAGTCTCCAAGTTTCGCCTAAGTAAAGTACTTTGAAGATGAGATATAACGGTGGGCGTGGTATGTGCTAGCGTACAGTATATTTAGTAAAATCGCTACCAGGCGGCAGAATCCTTTCAATTAGGGCTCTCCATCTTTATCATTATATGTATCTTTTCGGTTGAGTAATCGACAAAAATTATGACTTGACTCCTATGTGACATTTTGGGGCCAATCATCTGATTTGTCCCTCTACAAATATATTGGAATAATACGAATACTTTTATTTTATAGAAACGAGGAAAGAAAATCTCAAAGAATCAAGTAAAATGATCAAAAACCTCTTGTCAAAAAGCCAAGCGAGTAGCCAATTCACGACCTATAGGAGGGTCAACATCTGAATTGCGACACGTGGTGGAGGCGCAGTTTCTTCTCAATAATGCCATTATTCCAGTCAATTTTGTCACGTTTTATGGTTTTATAGAGCAGTTTCACCCATCCAACCACTATTCATTTCGAAATATGAAGTATACATTTTCTCAATTGTCTTCCAAGGTTTTCGTATCTGAATCGGAAATGATTGTTGAAAATGTCTTACTTACACAATAGTAGTACCCTGAGCGCCCATCCTATCCTGCCTATGATGGCGCTGGGAGCATCCGTGATGGGTTCGGCTGGGTTCGGTTGGTCCGGCGAGGTGGATCGTCTAGGTGGTGGGGGCGATACGGGCTGTATGCCGCCCTTGGCGTTCATGATACCTGGGCCAAAACCTGTAAGGGTACATACCTGATATATCATCCATGAATAAAATTGATGGTTTGATATCAACTGAGCAATTCTCTTCAACTTCAATGCGACAACATGCCATTCATATAGGTAAAAAAAAACAATAAAGTTTTTTTTCTACATTCATGCAAAAAGCAGAACTTTATTGAACTATATTTAGTGGAAAAAGAAGTTCTTTATTGCACTTAGTGCAATAAAGTTTTTATTGCACTCATCTGTCATTCTACTTCAACCTTGTGTCATCATGACAAACATTTTTATATTGCAACTGTGGTTATAGAAACGTCAGTCAAAAATTAATTCTGACAATTAACAGAATTGTACCTAGTGCCGCACCTCAATAAATCATTTTTTGCTTTTTGCATGAACGTAGAAAAAATGTTGTATGCAACTCGTGCAAAAATTGTTTATTGCACTCGACGTGTTGTCCAACTCGGCCTGACGACCTCGTCGGACAATTTCACATCGAGTGCAATAAACATTCACTTTTTGCACTTGTTGCATAAATAACTATTTCTGTGACGGGAAAAAAGTTTGGCATTTCATCTCTGTTGGCAGGTTATAAAATGTCACTTTTCAATAATTACTTCTTTCCGTGGGAAAAGAGTGAGTACTTTTTTCCCGGATATATATCACACTGTTGATGGCTTTTGTTGTGCTATAGTTCCGAAGAATGAGTCAATAATACCGTCTCCGAGAAAGAACTGCAAGTCCTTTTATCTTCCATTCGACTTCGCGGTTACGTATATTACTAAACAACCACTAAATTCGCAATTTTTTGAAATCAAATCACAGAATTAGACTGACAGAAGTGACATCAGATATCTGATTACTTCGAAAGAATAATGATAAAGATGCCTACAACGCAGGTGTCCCTACTGTTAAAAACTTAAAATTTTACGTCGATAATTTTCAGATTTCAAAATAATGTAATATCTTCTCAATATTGATTTGTCCTTTCTTCTTTCACAGAAAAAAAATGTTTATTATGCAAGGGAAAAATATTAGTTTTTAGCTCACGGTTTTTTTTTCTCCCTCCGCTACGCGTCGAAAGACAACACAACCTGGAGCTAAAATCTACTACTTTTTTCTCTTGTATAATGAATAACTATAATTGTACTCAATAGGAAAATGAATTTCAGTTAGTCAGTGGAAGGAAAAAAAATATTATATGATCATGGACAAGTTTTCAACTTTTTTGATCATGTTTATATTATGAAAAAATGTATGCTATTTTGAAAATGAATATATAAAATAAAGAAATGGATTACAAATAAAGTTTAAACCTTTCGTTGGTGTCCTCAGATGGGGGCAAGGGACAGCTCATTTTAATATGATAATATGATTTTTATACAGAGTGTCCCAAAATTACAAAGAAAGAATCCAACCACTGATTCCAGAAACAGAAATAGTAAAAAGGTTCATGCGGCCTAGTTTTGAAGTGGATCCAGAATTTTCTAGAGAAAACACATTTTTGTGTTCGGATAGATGATTGTTTTCCTGACCAATATCCAGTATAGAGTGGAGTTCCTCAAGGATACGTACTTGCGTCCTTTGTTGTTTTTGTGTTACACATAAGATTTATCACATATTTTCAAGTCAACCTGTTCTTTTTATGCTGATGACACAAAACTTTATAATAATACAAAATCACAAACTATATTGCAAAATGACGTAATTGCCTTATACAACTGGAGTTGTCATTGGTACTTCCACTGAATATTGATGAATGTGTTGAACTTCACCTTGGTAGAAATAACCCAAGACAAAACTATACCATCAAGGAGACCATCAATGATGAGCAATCACCATAATCAGCAATTTAACGTAGTCACAAAATATTTCAAACATATGCGAACGAACGAATACAAAATTGCATCTCTTGAAAAAAGTTTTTCCGTAAACGAAATAAACCAAGACAAAACTATACCGTCAATGATGAGCGTTTAAACATTGTAAAAATGTCCCACCGGTTCAATAAATATTATTATTATTATTATCTAAACCTGATAGAGCCGCGATGTGATGGCTCTATCAGGTTTAGTTTCATCGTTGAATGTAGTTGAAAATGGAAATCGATATCTTGAAACAATGTACTTCTATTAGGTTTCTAGCCCAGTGTCTTTAAGGAAAACTATCAAATATTTGTTGTGTAAAAAATTTATAATATCGAACTTTATATGCTCTGAAACCTTGAGAGTATCACGTTTAAACCATGATCACGTGTAGAAACATTTCATGTGAATAGATCCTGGAAATTTAATGTTGCCTCATATAACATGAGAAGGCAATTCCATAGCTATCCTAGAATCACATCCAAAGCCATGAATTATCAAATGAGTTGAAATGGTGTATATAATTGCAGTAAATCGATAACTAATCTACAATACAATATGATTATTTGGTCAAATATCTTCATAGTGTGAGGAAATCGTGAACGAAATTCGAAATTATTCACAGGATATTTCTAGTGGATAAAATTGGATATTTTGTATAGGATGTATAAGCTACCTAATAATAAGCATTTATCCAATGATAAGTACAGTATTGGTTCCCAAGAATGACTCATATTGTTATAATTGACTACGTTTACGACAAACTGAAGGAAATAATAATGAATATGATATTTACTTTATCTTCGTTCGGGAACTTATAATTATGGATATCATTATCGATGAATTTCGAGTGAAGGTAAAAACACAGAAAACCCCGAAGTCTAAATTATGTACAGGGTGATTGTTTATATTTCACTCAATAGCTTTTTCAATTGATATTGGTTTTACAGGAAAGTTGAAATGGGCAAAAATTGAGTATTTCTAATCTATTACTAGAAAATGCAAAAAAGCATCTGAAGACCTGAATATTCCACATGAACTGTTATCTTCTAAACCGAACACCCTGGTATGCCAATTTCCTAATAGATAGAGATCTTCCTTCTAATTCCATAAATATATACTTTTTTGGGGTTATCTGACAGTTTTCGAAAAATATAAATTTTAAGGCAGCTGTAGAATGCCATTGTCGTCTGGCGTTCTACACCTGCCTTATAAATGTATATTTCTCAAAAAATGACAAAAAATAACCTCACCAAAGTATATACAGGGTGAGTCATAACTATTGGGACATAGGTGAAGGGAGGAATCTTTGGCGATAGGATCAAACATGCCATAATAAAATATTGCTGTGGAAAAAGATACAGGGCGTTTCAATCGAAAAAGTATTTACTATAATCTTGCACCAGAATTCATTCACTGACAAGAAATGTCATTCACCAGCAACAATTATCTGGCAGTCCAAAGCACACTCTTCATGGATGAAATACTATTTGAAATCCCCTTACGAGACTTTCAACTGTTCAATTGCGTTCTTCTCGAAAACGAATGAAAAAATCGTGTCTGAACAGTTGCACCAATATTACGTAGGAATGAGTTTCATATGTTCTAATCAAGATCACTACAAAGTTTCGTCAAAATAAAGTTATCAGTCGATTTCATCATCAGGAATCATTCACATGGCACCCCTGTAACAAACTGTAGAACAATATACACAGGGTGATTCAGGTTTTAAGGCACAAACCAAAATGAGAGATAGATCCCATCATTTTAATCAAAGAAGTTTATATAAACATTAGTCCGAATTTTATTTAACTGAAAAAAAACTTGACTTTCAACCCTCCGTATCCCCGTTACTGGTCCAGATTATAGTGAGTACATTTTATTGCATTTTCAACGTATTTTGTCAAAAAATGAAATTTAAGCGAAACAGGCAAGATTAACATGATCTAGAATTTATATATATCAAAAACGGTTCGTTTGTCGAAAAAAATTTTGGAACAAAGAAGCCCCTAAATTGAACGATCAACACAATTTGATCACTGAAAGATGCCAGAGGCGTACTACGAAAAAGTTTGGGGGGGATAAAGAAGCATCTTCCTCCAAAACCGTATCACCCTGTAGATTTTGAGAATTTTCAAATAGTTTGAAAGGATTATCTTCAAGGAAGTATTGACTACACCAAATTTCAAAATGATATCTCAAAAAGTAAGCGAGATATTTCAATTAATAGAAGAAAATAATCAAACTTTGACTCCCTGTAGCTCCGCTACTGAACGAGATCAGACTAATGTTTATACAAACTTTTTTGACTATCTCCCATTCAAGTTTGTGCCTTAAAACCTGAATCACCCTGTAGAATGATATTTCCTGTATAAAATTATGCCTCTGTGCCGCTTTTGATAATAATTGATGAATAAACAATGGAATCATTAGCGAAAAACGAGAAAGATATTCAACTTTAACGCCCTGTATCTTCTTCCACAGCAATATTCTATTGAGGCCTATGTCCCAATAGTTATGCCTCACCCTGTATATTTGAAATCAGCAAAAAGAGCTTTACAATTTGGAAAAGGAGAATTCATCAATTCATCACGATGCTTTTTCTGCATTTTCTAGTAACAGATTTGGAATGCTCTTGAAACATATACTTCATTTTTGCCGTCTTCAATCTTTCTGTAACACCAATATCAACTGAGATAGGTATTGAGTAAAATATAAACAATCACCATGTTACTTAGCATTTCTCCAATTGTTTTGGATCAATTTCCAAACAGTTAAAAATTATCATTAGGTCAAATACTGAAAAATGCAATTTCCGGTATGTTTCAGGACATAAAAGATCTACCAACTTCCAACAATCAAAACCTGCGTAACATGATTTCAGTTTTCCATTCCAAAGTTTTAAGGACTGTAATAACCTCAAAATAACTTGATGTTTTTCCTAGTTAATGCAGAAACAATACAGTAGGTAGTAGGTACTATTCATCCTGGCCAAACTCCCGAAGTTTTCAGGTTCCCTGGCATTCAACACTCTGGGAAAACTTCACAGAATTGTATGCCAGAAGCAGCCGAACATAATAAAGAGGGTTGGCTTCATGAGTTCAAGTTTTACAGGGTGGCCAATATTTGAGGATATAGGCAATGCAGATACGAGAAAGAAGAAGTTCCTATATATGAGCACTCATTTTTCTATATTATTTCAATTACAGTTACAGCTTCTTAGGTTTATTCAACTGAAAAATGTAAGTCTCTCTGCCCCAGTCCAAGATCATACGATATATTCCTGGAATTTCCAATGGGGGTGAGCTAGTCATTTAAAAAGAATAAAGGAATGTTTTCTGGCATGTGATATCTTCTGATCATTGAGAATATTCGTGAAAATATTTTTGGTGGAATGATGGATTGGATGTAAAAAGTTTTCAAGGTTTCAGAAGCAGGAAATTTCAAATTTCAAGTGTTGGTATTTATTTCCATTTATTATAGGAATTCCTTATTGATAGAATTTGATTCGAGCTTTTTTCACGATTATATGATGTTCTTCCACACAAAATGTGTTTGTTTTTTAATACAGCCCATATGAAAGATGATACAATACCTACTTTTATTACGGACCAAAAATGTTGTCGAAAATTCTACATCAATAATTTTTGACCAATCAAATTGAGTTTTTCCTGACAAATCACCATGCAAGAAATTTACTTTAGTCTGGAAATATTTTTCTGTTAGGTACCCAACATCGAATTAATGCATCATGAGATTTTTGTTGGACAAAAAAACAAAATGGAGGCTTCAAAATGGCGGACGAGTTTTGTAATTATGATCCGAATATATTCAAAACTAGTATCTGGGTGTTTCCGAGGTCGGAGATTCCGGTTATTCCGTCAAAATTGGTAAATTCAATATGGCGGATCCAATATGGCAGACGAATTTTGTAATTATGATCCGATTCTATTCAAAATTTGTTTGTGGAAGTTGTAGGGGTTGGAGATTATGATTCTTTCGCCAAAATTGGTGAACTCAAATTGGCGGATCAGATATGGTGGACTAGTTTTGCTTGTTGATACTCTCGCCAAAATTGGAAAATTCGATATGGCGGACACAATATGGCGAACGGGTTTTGTAACCATGATCCGAATATTTTAGAAATGATTATCTGGGGGTTTTCGGGGTCGGAGATTATGATTCTTTCGTCATAATTGATGTAAAAACACTGAAAGACATGATTTTGTAGTTAGCCGACCTAGAGAATAAAAAATAAATAGTAGTTCGAAACACTAAAGAAACACCCCTTTATAGATAACCAAACTGAAAACAAGCAGAAAATGAAATAGTGTAAGTGTGTTAATAAATATACACAACATAGAATGTACTGAATACGAAGGTGCTATGTTGTGTATTTGTTAAACACACTTTTATCATTACATTTTCTACTTCTTATTAGTTTGGCTATCAATAGAATTATAATTTTCTACAACTTCTATAGTAATTCGAATAAGTTGGTATGCAATCGAAGAATATAATATTTCACATTCTAAACTGGTATTTTCATGCAACTACCATAGGTAGAAATCAAGAATTTGATTTGTAAGCTAGGAATCTATTGCTTGCCAAAACTGCGAGGCAAACAAAATTCTTTCATGAACCTATGTGAAAATCGAATAAATGAATGAATTCTTAAATTATTCGATTCTCAAACACAATCTGTTGTGGAATTTTCTTACGGAACACAACACAAGGTAGAATTATTTGCCGGTAATGTTTTCTCACTAATGAATATTTTTAAAATTATCATGTTCATGAGCTCAAAAATATTTCCGGAAATAATTTATCCTCTAGTAGTATCACAAGTGAAAATATTTTTGTAATGAAATTTCCAAATATTTATCAGATAATTAAATTGACTGATGATGTGTTAATGGAGAATAATATCTGACGTGTATTGTATATTTACTGAGTTCAAAGCACCAATACCATTAGATGTTTATCCTTTGAGGATGTCAATTTGCTTTTCCTATATGTCAACTTATCATATCAGTCCAAATTTTGGATTTGGATATGGGTAGCTCGTTTCAAACGTTTTTTTTTTTGTAATGAGTCATTATCATAGTTACAAATGATCTATTAAAAGCTTTTTTGCTTTTCATGGAATGGGTTTTCGGGAAAGAATAGTATATTGTTTAACGAGCACGGAACGATAGTGATTTCCTACGAGAATGAAGTTTGCAGCATATGAGCCATAGGCGAATGCTACAATCATTCGAGTAGGAAATTAGCATTCCGTTCAAGTTATACACTATCATTTTTCTACGGCTATAATAGATTACATCGGCATTTTCATCTTGTAGCCATCTGATTTCCTGTCAAGTAATGCTCATCTATTAGACAGAGATGTCATTGCTTGAAATTTGACATTCCATGGGCAATGAGTTTTTTTGAAATAATAACGCAATGGAGTCATTGTGATATCAGATACGGAAATAATATTGATGACATACAAAGTACCTCAATGATGTATCGAACAGAGAAAAACAAGAGCAATTTTGTGTTATACCCGTAGAAAAATATAATTTCTGTTTCATATATACATTTGGAAACTCACCATTTTTCAGTTTACAGTTGGAAACCAGATCGTTCATCAGCTCCTTATTTTTCTGAAATACAGGAAAACACCACATTTAGTATTTTTGATGAGACCAGGTCAAGAAGAACATCAGAAATATAGACACGTATTCCCCGCAATTCCACCAGGTCCACACAATGCCAGATGAATATAAATATGAAGCAAAATTTTATGATGAGTTTATCAACCCTTGGCCATAAAATGAATCTGACATTTTCCTAATGAAGAAGCCTGCTTCTCACCAGGCACCAATCCCAATTCAGTTTTATCGCACTATCAACGGAAATCAGATAGTATAAATACGCATTTTCGTTATCTCTGATGATAATAAAGACGAATGTTATTTGTTTTTTGACAAAAATAAGCTACCTACTTTATTTTGAATAAACAAATTGATTAGGAAATCCAATACACCATGTTTTGAAATTTCAACCAACAACGCATCACAGGAATCCCCTATTCGAGTAAAATACTTCACTTCATCTACGACTACTCGAATATCAAAGCAAAATCAGATATTTTATAAATATGTAACATTTCTGGATCTAATTGAAGATCTCCTATAGTATCATGAAAACTTATTGAGAATAATGTTGAAGCGTATTATATAGGTATTTTACCGTTTTATAAAAATTGTATGCTGAATGAATCATCATTGCAGATTATTCATTTGAGAACATGAGTATCTACGTCTGATAATGGGCGTGTACACCTTAGTAGAACTTTAAACTCAAGCCATGTTTATAATGATCCTTTTATACATGAATAACGATTGAAGACATAATTCGATCGAAAAATTAACTGGAATCTTTTATTTTTGGACATAAATAATAGTACCTTCTGAAAACGGACCCTATTATGACGTAGAAACCTCTTCTCGCCATAGTTGGAAGAAAATACCAATCGCCCGACAGAGACTGAGGCAACTGATATATTGATTCTTTCAACTGTGATCTCGCGCTAATTCCGGCTAATTCACTCTGTCAGAAATCATGTATCATTCATCTCTGTCTGGGGCCCGATTCTCGAATCCGTTGGAATTCATTCCCATGGGAAAATTTCTATATTTCCCATGGAAATTTGTGTTGATGTATTCTCGAAATATTGTATGGGAAACTATTCCTACACATTTCAAGGGAACTGCTTCCCATGGTCATACCCATGGGAACAACATATTTCCCATAGGATACACTCATGAAATACGAAGTTATTTTCATTTGTAATGGGAACTGAACTTTAGTGAAAAATCGGAAAAACATATGTATTGCAAAACATGGAAAACATAGATGGAATAGATCATCTAGAAGCTTTACAACATTTGGAAGTGTCTGAAATTTTTGCTAGAAGACTAAGAAGGTTTCTGCGTAGAAGGGACCAATTGAGTGTTTGTCTGCTGCACAATTTATTGAAGTTTTTAGTTTATCCAAAGACATTACTAGAAAATTGATAGGTACTTCAGAATCCTTATAAGTGAATTGGGGTGAAATTTTCCTTTCCTCAAGTCCTTAGAGGCCTCCATTATTTCTATTAAAAGTCTTTTCTGCTCTTTGCTAATACTACCACCTCGTGGTTTTTTAATATTGTTTGTATCCATTTCCATTTCGATCAGAGAGGGAATATAGTAAATATATAATACACAAAAATCTCACAGTCGCAAAATTATATTATATATACTATATAACCTCAAAATTAGTCAAAATCAAAATGTCAACATTTCATTTCAACCAGTTACCAACATAAATTCTACTCATTTCATTGGTAAATTCATGTAAGTTCAAGAATCTATCTGCGACATACGGCACTTTTTCAATCCCCTGGGAAAAACGATTCCATATGGTTCAAGAATAGGTGTCATGACAAACTATCATTTCCTATGAGAACTGGAAGCATTGGATCATTCTCCTATAGGATCGAATTCCTACAGATTCGAGAATCGGGCCCCTGGAATAGTCTTGTTCCAGTATTAGGGTTTTGACGTCACATCATCGCCTCGTTTCGAAAGGTCCGAAAAATCTGGGATTTCAATATTTTTTTTATAAAACGTAGGGAGCTAGTTTGGGTGAGTTCTATCAAGTTATGAAATAAAATTTTTTTGTGATATAAGCCCATTATTGTAGAGTATCAATGATTGATAGCTGATATTATATGCAACAAACAATTCAAGTCAGATCGTTTTGATTGGTCTGTACTCTATTCCAATCGCCGATACGAACACACACGATTAGGAATGAAAAACAATGGATTCTCATTTTTCTGTGTATTTATACGAAGGGGAATGAAACTATCAAAATTATTAAGGTTATAGTCTCTCGCATTTTCATGTATTTCAAACATTGTGCTGTGCAGGAAGAATAGGCAATTTCATTATGATTGAAAATAGCCCTTTTTCTATGGCGAACGGTCTCATACATGACTCAGTTTATCAAATAGCACTTCCTCTCATCTATTGATTCCTTCACAACCGTTTAATTAACACTTCAAAAGTCCTACAAATTGAGACAGTTCCAAACGACCATTTTTCGCGGTGTGACGTCACTTGTATTTTCTTGAGGCTCCCTCTGACGACCCAAAGAGGATACGTTGCACAAAACCACAGACACAGAACTCGAGCACAGAGTGGTTGGTTGATCTGTGACTTGAGAGAAAAATGGCTACAAAACAAACTAGAAGAATAAAAAGATTAACCTCGAAATCTAGTTCATAGTTCATTATTTCATTTCATTTTCAGTGATCTATCAGTGTCATATTAGTGATATTCTTTCAATCTGAATCTACTGAAATATTTCACTTGAACTGAAAGAAAATGTACTGTGAACTACCTACTATCACTACATTCTAGTGTCTAGACTTCCAACATAGACAGCAGACGTTTAGTCTCGGAACTTGAATTAAATTGAGAACATCCCACGTAAACGTAATGTATACACAATGACAATGAAAATGTTATGTAAAGTTTCTTGTACGAACACACCAGACATTATACTCGAGCTAACTTTTAACATCAAAACGTATAATAGGTGAATACCCCTCATTCTGTTTGGTGGTTTGTTTGCATGATTTCTAGTAGTTTGACATCAACCTTGTACCTAGTACCCGGACTAGTTTACAACTATCCACTGAAAATGTGCATGAGATCGTTTCTGTATCAGACCATGAGTTAGATAATGAAAAATACAAAGGGATGTATTGGAATTCGATCAAGATGTCTACCACCTGTATGTCGATCGAAATGATAAGTAGGTATACGACCGATCTTCTCTTAAGATAATTGGGATATTCAAGAAAATCTTTGGATAAACGTGAACGTCTTTTGAATCTCGGTCAGATCGATCAGGAAAAACCGTTTTTTCAAAACTACCATAATAATGGTGATATATTTAACATGGCTGGGAAGGAAATGTTCAGCTCCCTTCAATGGTATAAAAATCCAGTATGGCACCCATTAGAAAAACAATAGTTGTATGGCAAGTCTCTGAAACTAATAGAATATTCCTGACAATCCCAAATTCTTTGTCATAATTAATTACCTGCTTATGCAAATTTCAAATTTTCTCTTCGAATATTAACCAAGAAAATAAATAAAAACAAAATCAGTGATTTTCAGTTTCTCCAAAATATCTCAGGATCGGCTGAAGTTTCTTCAAATTGTATAACGTCATACTGTTTGGAGGTTAAGCGAGGAGGTGGTACATTCATTTTACTTGATTATTCGGGATTTTTTCTCATCGTCTCTATAAAATAATAATATGAATACTATTTCAATATACATGTGGTGAGGACAAATCAGATGATTTGCCCCAAAATGTCACTGCGTTTAAAGAATTTTCCTATCTGAGAGTCTGAAAGGAATATTCACAAGATTGTCAATGACAATTCGTATTGAAAAAGATTTGGAGAAAAGATATGAATAAGGTATATAGAAAAAATATCAAATTTTCACCCATCAATTTTTAATGTTGAGAACGGGAGCAGATTCGTTCCCGAAACGTCCAAAGATAAGTGAAAATTTGATATTTTTTCAATATAAATCTCAAAATCCCAAAAGAATCTGGAATAATGTATAATATTGATAAGGATTACATTACAAAACTTTTGTCTGATTTAATGAATTTTTTATCTATTACCGTTTAGGATAGAGCAATACTGTCCCTATTGAATCGGAAGGACCTTGTATACTTTTTTTTTGTTTTATCGCTTGGAGCGCACGAAAGGCAATCCCTATAATGTTGGAAGAACATCGTGCGTTCCTAGGGAGGATAGGGACAGGAGGTAGGTATTGGAATTTTTTTGAACTTTTGGAGATTATATGTTGATGGGAATACTTCCACAGGCAATGAATTCCAGAGCCTAGCCGTTCTATGGATGAAGGAGTCTTGATAAAGTGCTGTTCGACATCTTTCGAGGTTGACAACGAAAGGATGTGCTGACTGGGCTTGTCTAGTTCGTCTGATTGGTATTGCTAGTGAAGGGATGATAGCGGAGATTTCCAAAGAACATTTCCCGTGGAAGTATCGATAGAAAAGTGAAAGGTCGCCGACCTTTCTACGGTGTTCCAATGATGTCAAAGAGTGAGTGAGTGTGGCGTCACCCACCAGGCGAATGGCTTTTCTCTGGATGGAATCTAAGAGCATCAGCGTATGTTTTGGTGCTGAACCCCATATGTGGGAACAGTATTCTAGAACAGGCCGTATCTGCGCTTTGTAGATCATGAGAAGCTGTTGTGAGGTGTAATGAAGCTTTTCGCACGGAACAAGAATCCGAGTTTTTGTGAAGCAGCTTTTGCGATGGATTATCCCATGAAAGAGTGTTGCTGATGGAAATACCGAGCATAGATATGGTGGGCTTGGTAGGGATGGTGGAGCCAGACATTACAATATCGGACATACTCAGTTCCGCCTTTCTAGAGAAAATGCAGGCTTGAGTTTTGATGGCGTTGAATTCAACTAGGTTGTTTGTTCCCCAGGCTGTGATTTCAGCAAGATCTTCATTAACAGCATTGACCTGCCTGCGCCGTGAGTTCTTAGTTTCCTGGGAAGAAATGGGAATTCTGGAAGAGAACGCAGTATGGAGGGTACTATCATCTGCAAAGCTGCGGATGGGGCAAGTAGTTACTCCCACCAGATCATTGATATGAAGCAGGAATAATGTTGGTGTCAAAATTGATCCTTGAAAACTACTATTATTTTGCCTTTACAAGGCGTGAAGTGTGTTTTTACTACCAAGGTAGTTTTCATCATTTTATGAACCACTAGCTGCTGCATATGTATGTCTCTCTCTGAATAAAAATCAACGTGTCTGAATAATTTTGTGTGAAATCATTTTTCTGGGAGTTATCGAGGGTGAATTGTCTCGAATGGACCACCCAGTGTATGAACTATACTTCAAAAGATATTGGGTGAAGCCAACACTGCAAGACTGACTTGCCCCGGATACGCTGGAAGTGGCTTGAAAGGGTTCATTGTATTATCCAATATCGTATGCATATAAGAGCCACTTAGAGTATGAATAAGCTCCTTTATGTTTAGACAATTTCAAGTATAAAATATAATATGGATTTTGACGGATGAATGAAAAATCTACAGTAACGCTACGCTAAGTGTGATTAAGCATAATGTTATATGGATGTACGAATGGATGTAGAATAGTGGCTAGAACTATGATGCTAGTTAGTTAGTTAATTGTAGTATCTACCAGTGAAGTTTTCACAAACACTTTGTTTATGTCATCATGCATTTACAATAACATTCATGAAATATTTCAAGGATTACTTGTGAAATCGTATCAACCTAACTACAGTGCAAACTATCAGTATGTACTCGAGGAGGTGGAATATTCATTATTACAGATTTTTTGGGATTTTCTTTCCCCGTTTCCATATAATAAGAATATGAATATTATTTCAATATACGTGTCATAGGGACAAACCAGATGGTTTGGAAATAAGGTAGGAATTGGTGTTCTTCTTAAATTTCTGGAGGTTATATGCCTTCGGGGAACACCTCCCTTGGCAATGTGTTCCAGAGCCTCGCTGTTCGTTGGATGAACGAGTCGTCGGAAAGATATATGTTCTGCAGGTCTCCAAAGTGACCACGAAGGGGTGCAAAGCCTCAACTCGCCGGGTTAATCTCGCGGAGACTGCCATGGGAAGAACAACTATTGTTGATTTTTCAGAAGAGCATCGTCCATGGAAATATCTATGAAATAGAGCCTGATCGCCAGCTTTTCTCAGGTGTTCCAGAGAAGTGTGAGTTTTTGAGTGAAGCATCACCGACGAGACGAATTGCCCTTTTTTGGACAGAATCCAACAGTTTCAGGGTATGTTTGGGTGCTGCACTCCAAATATGGGAACAGTATTCCAAGACAGTGCGCCTTATAGATCATAAGCAGCTGACTGGAAGTGAAATAGCTCCTGGCCCGAAACAGAAAACCAAGTTTTTGGGATGCACTTTTAGCAATTGATCTCACGTGATTTTCCCAAGAAAGGTTATTGCTGATAGTAATACCAAGCATCGAAATGGATGTCTTCAAAGGTATGGTTACTCCTGACAAGCTTATGTTGGGCACAGTGAGATCGGCTTTTCTAGAAAAAAGGCATGCTAGTGTTTTGTTCGCATTGAAATCTACCAAGCCATTGGATCCCCATTCGAAAATTGTTGCCAAGTCCATATTTATGTTGTCAACATTTCTCCTTCGTTCATTTTTAGATTGAAGTGTCACTGACAAGCGAATGCATTTATCTTTTAGGAAAATTTTTGAACGCAGTGAGATTTTGGGCCAAACCATCTGGTTTGTCCTCACTACACGTATATTGAAATAATATTCATATATTTTTTCTGTGACGGGAAAAAAGTTTGGTATTTCATCTCTGTTGGCAGGTTATAAAATGTCGCTTTTCATAAATTACTTTTTTCTCGTGGGAAAAAATTCAGTACTTTTTTCCCGGATATATATCACATATATATACACTGTTGATGGCTTTTGTTGTGCTATAGTTCCGAAAAATGAGTCAATAATACCGTCTCCGAGAAAGAACTGCAAGTCCTTTTATCTTCCATTCGTCTTCGCGGTTACGTATATCACTAAACAACCACTAAATTCGCAATTTTTTGAAATCAAATCACAGAATTAGACTGACAGAAGTGACATCAGATATCTGATTACTTCAAAAGAATGATAAAGATGCCTACAACGCAGGTGTCCCTACTGTTAAAAACTTAAAATTTCACGTCGATAATTTTCAGATTTCTCAATATTGATTCGTCCTTTCTTTTGTCACAGAAAAAAATGGTGTATTATACACGGGAAAAATATTAGATTTGAGCTCACGGTTTTTTGTCTCCCTCCGCTTTTTTCCCTTGTATAATAGATAACTATTATTCGTTAGGAACGAGGAGACAGTATCTCGAAACATCTGCAATAATGAATATCAATATGCGATTTTGTTATTCCTGCAATGCAATGCAGTGTCCGCTGTTACCCATCAAAATTCGTTCTCGATCATCGGTATATAGTTTTATACACGAGGGAAATATTCACTGATGTGAGCCGAAGAAAATTATTCTGCTCTTGTATAGGGATTTTCATCCATGAGGGAGATATCTATCAGGGAAAAGACACTTCCTTACCTCCCAAATCAGCTTAAAGTCGTGCTGCTCGACCCTGAGAAGCTCGCAAGTGGTTTGAGTGACAACTGTACTATCTCTCGGCAAATCTTGAAGGATGGATTCACCGAAAGTTGCCCCTATGCCCAAGCTGCACAATGCTACTGGATTCTGGAAGAGAAACGAAATATAATATATTTTTGAATTGATACCCTATTTTGGTTATTTAAAGAGGACGCCTCAGTGAGGAGTGGCCTCAGTGTTTAAATCGCAACTTCCAAAAGACGCTTTCGTTTTTATGTTACCATGGCAAAAAAACCTAAGGAGTACAATGTAATAAATAAATAAATAAATACTACTTTATTTTCGAAATATGTTCATTGGTGCAATACATTATATAAACTATATATAAATTATTCCATGAACATAGATTAAAATGACGTTAAGAATGTTTCACAGGTTATTATTCAGATTCTGTAGTTCATAAACTCTTCAATTGTGTAAGGTTCTATTTGAATAAGTAGTTTCCTGATCTCTCTTTTGAACACTTTGGTTAAGTTTAATCTGGTAGTTTATTGAAAAGTTTTATTGCCATGCACCATGGGCTTTTCGCAGTCATTGCTAATCTATGACTTGGAATATTGATATCACATGTTCTAGTATTGTATCCTTTTGTTTCATTTCCTAAATTCACTTTTATTGTTATGTATAAACATCAACGTTTCATATATACAATGCATATATTGTTAGATTTGAAAACATTTCTACAGGAATCTCTATGCTTCATATAGTTCATGAATCTGATTAGCCTCTTCTGTATAATAAAAAACTCTTTCAGTTTCTTTGTTCGTGCCCCAAAAAATCATCCAATATTTCGTAGATTCAGAATTAACAAAGTATGTGATAGTCACTGTCTTTTTATGCATATATTTATGAATGATACGAATTGAATATGTAATTTTACTCAATTTTGAACAAAACTGATCAATATGACTCGATCACCTCAAATTCTCATCATGATAATAGTTCAAGAGCCAGCTGAAAATTATGATCGTCATCTGATAACGAAATGATATACAGTGAGGACGTAAAAAGTCCTCCTCCCTTCTTCAACTTTTGAACGGAACGAGCTAGCGAGGTCGGGTAAAATTAAGGCAAAAAGGTACCTCTTTCACTATTATTTGGCATGGAAATTGTTGTGGTCACGTGACCTAGTGTCAAGTGGTCACGTGACCTAGTGGCAAGTGGTCACGTGACCTAGTGGCAAGTGGTCACGTGACCTAGTGACAAGTGGTCACGTGACCTAGTGGCAAGTGGTCACGTGACCTAGTGGCAAGTGGTCACGTGACCTAGTGGCAAGTGGTCACGTGACCTAGTGGCAAGTGGTCACGTGACCTAGTGTCAAGTGGGCACTATCAACTTTTTTTTTTCGAATATGAAGAGGGATCACGTGTTTCCTTGTTTTGAAGGCCTTATTTCGATTCTCTATCCAACCCTGCTTTGTTTGTGCAAATCGGTCAAGCTGTTTCAAAATGGCAAGCGTTTGAAATGTATCTCGGAAACAGTGAATCACGTTCGGATTGAATTCCAAAACCGATTTTTTTCCTGTCCTTTAATAACTCATGAGAATGTGTATCGATGAAAATGTCAATAATTCAAAAATGGTTACGAATATCAATATGAATGTTGAGATGAAAGATGTTCGTGTTTCGATTTTACACCAAATGGCCTTGAATATATATGGGGTGTTTCATTTGAAAAACTCGAGAAAAATCACTTCAAAAAGTTCTGAATTGAAAAATAATTTTTAGCCACCCTGTATAATTTGAGGGCATGGGAATTCTACAGAAATATATCGCATCTTCCCATCGAATGATGGTATGATTATTCTCTCTTGAATTTCATAATTGTGACTACAGTGATTTTTAGTTTTAGTTCGACAAAAAAATTAATAACTCTGGAATGATCAAGATATAGTCAACCATATTATAGGAGTTGTAGGAGGTCACAGGGATGCCTCAAAAAATGTGCATTCCATTTAAAAAAGTGATCCTAACCATCTAGATTTTTTCCAGTACCACCTGTATATATGCGGTAATAATTTCTAGTTATGGACCTTGTTGTCTCATTCACATTCGTTTTTGAATCGAGTTTCTAGCTATCATAAAACTCGAGCAATCGAGCTTCGGCGCACTAATGCCTCACCCTGTATATTAACGATAGGGGATTGAATGATGCTCTCGTCATATTGCGAATTCCATATTGCGAGCCATTAATTTTATATTTTCCACCAACAGCTATTCTGTCGGAAAACACATTCCCATTTCCCGACTCGTGTAATTAAAATCCCAGTTCGTTTGCATATGGAATACAATGGGTGAAAATGAAATTGTGGATAACTTTAGTATCTGGAAACAGTTTCAATCATCCAGAAATTATGTCAATATTATCACAAACATCCAGTAACTTACTTTCGCTTTTTTAATGGGTAGGTATATATAACTAGAAGGGAGTTTAACCAGTAACTGTCGATGAATATCTGACATTGTTTAATCAGAAGGAAACAAGAGATAACACAATTTTGATTCTTCTATTGTTTACTTTCTCGTGGGAACCTCTTCTAAAAAAATTTGTGTTGATATTTGGCTATCTGGATATCTGGATATCTAGCGAAGCCGAGCGAAAGCAAAATTTGCGAGTCAAAGGAAGTCACTTCAAATCCGAATGAAACATGCTATTTTTTTCTGCAACCGAAAGAATTAACTAACTTAAATAAAATGTGAAGTAACCACCAATGTGACTTACTTTACTACTTAACTACTTAACATTAGAATATTGGTAGACGATGACTTTACTTTCTTACAATTTTTGTACATGCATCAACTTATACTACAGGCACGAACTCAATACTATACCCGAACCGTGGATGCCGTGCCATATGTATGCAATGCAACAAATGATCCAAGTGGTGAGAATATAGGAAAAAGAAGTGGAAAATGTTAGGTTAGTGAGCATATCAACGATATCAAAAGCGATCATTAATTTCTCCTCATCTTCCATTGTGTTAGGCTGGGTAATCAAATGAAGATAAACAATATCGTTGTGTCAGACGAAAAAGTATTGCTGGCCGTGATTATTCGCGAAGAAGTTATCCAATCAATCAGATCCCGCGAATGAATGAAATATAGATCAAGCATGTGAGTCTTGAAGACTTTCCTGATCAAAACGAAAATACTCAACTATTATAAGGTGTATTTATATCTCCAGCATAGGTATGATATGCCAAATCTGCCGATATCGGGAACAAATGAGGTATTCGTCCCAACCCAAATAACCAACCATAACATTTTTTTCATTCTTGATGACCTAGTACATCAATAATATATATAAGTTCTTGCGTGCACAAAAGACACTTTGCGCACGTGTTAGGAACAACGTTTTTCCTACGAGCTTCATATCAGATAAAAAGGAAAATAAAAAAAAATTATGATGAAGTGACGGTGTTTCTAGATTTTTGCTGACAGAAACTGAGTAAAAATCTGACATCATGTCAAAGTTGACAAGTGCACTTGATGTTGCTTGACAATATTATATATAATCATATATCATTATACAAGGTATTCTCCTTTGAAACCGTGAAATAAATTTTTTGTTTTGAGGTGAAATACAAATATCGGGAAGAACGGTTGAAAAGTAAAAGGGATAACGGCTTCTTATAGTGCATACAATATTCTACAGCAACTGAAAAGAATATAAATGTTCCATACCAGTGAGATTCTTGGGTAGTTTTTTCTTATCCGCACGCCGTGCGGATAACACCCATATCCGCACTGAGTGCGGAAAAGTATTACTTTGCGCACGCAAATGAGTGCGGAGAAGTATACTTTGCGCACGCTTGTAGGAAAAAAATATTCGTGCCTCTTCTAGAAGCATTTCAGTAGGAATAATCAACTTATTATTTCAATCGCAGAATTGAAGCTTATTGCACGTCTGATTGATACAGTGAATCTGCAATCAGCAATGAGAAATTATAATCAAAACCTCGAATTCTTATTATCTTTGTGAAATAGTCAAGTCTTTTGTCTTTCAACCATTGTTCGTCTCCCTCAATTTCTCTTTTTGGTTGTTCATTTTTCTGAACAGTATTTTCTGCTTCATCAGTCTTTACTCTCCAATACCTTTTTCAAACACTGGAAATATTCAGCATTTATCCTTGAAGACATTATATTCGTACATTCTGAAATAATTAATATTTTATTCTTGGTAGTGGCTCTGAAGAACCTAGCTGTTCAGATATAATTTGAAAATAAAAAAGAATTGAAATAAAGAGCACAGGCATTTCTTTGCTATTCACTAACAGAGAGCATAGTTGGAATTAATAAGGATCTTTTGGTATGAATATAATGTTGGTAAATCTGGATTCATTCATGAGCATTAGTAGAGTACCTACCTACCTATACAGGGTGTTTCATAATTGAATGCTGATCCTTAAGGGCGATAATCCTTGGATGATTTCAAAGAGAAAAGTTCATATCAACATATGTCCTAAACCTCTTAGTTGATGAGCTACAGGGTGATGAAATTTCAAGAAAGAAATGAGTTTTTCATCATAATTTTTTATCACTCTCAGATATTGTTATGATATTTCGTATACACCTTTTCATTATTAAGGAGTATTTTTTCACGTGAAATATATTTAAAAATTCTCACCAGACAATTTCTGAAGAAAAAAATAGTACGTCACTGATTTTTCTGAGAACCAGATTATTTTTTCAATTCTTATTCATTTTGGAGCAAATTTGGTTCCTAGACTTACTTTCATACAACGTACCGTTTTCGCTAAAAAAAATAAAAACCAAAGAATTTTGTTCCTTCAGTTCTTGGATATTGTTTTTGGTAATTCAGTAGACACCCACTATAAGTGGAAACACATTTTGTTTTGGGACGAAAATCAAACTTTTACTTTTACCAGTGATGTCCTCGTAGACCTGATATTGAATGTTTAGTTTAAAAAAACGCTGTACGCTTCTGATTTCAACACCCTGTAGCTCAAAAACTAAGAGGTTCAGAACATATGTTGATATGAACTTCTCTCCTTAAAATCATCCAAGGATCATCGCCCTTTAGGATCAGCATTCAATTATGAAACACCCTGTATATTGTTGAGAAGTTATCGTCGTGTTTTGAGGAAGACTCCGAAGACACAAGTGTTCAGTTGAAACTATGATAATATACCGAGTGGAGCTAGATACAGCAACGACTGTATCAAAAACATAGAGTTCATGAAGAAAGGGTAACTAAATTTTTCTGAATATTGTTGATTCAGTATTTTATTCGTCTGAGCTAGTTAACTTCCTAAAGGACCCATTTTTTCCACCTCTTGGACCGCACGAAAGGATTTACTCGTGCGTACCTAGGATGAATAGAAAGAGGAGGTAGGTGTTCGATTTTTTTTAAACTTTGGGAGGTTATAAGTTCTTGAATGGCAAATAATTCCAAAGCTTTGCCGTTCTATAGACGAACGAGTTTTGGTAGAGTGTTGTTCGATATATTTCAAGGTAAACGACGAAAGGATGTGCTGACTTTTCAACGGTGTTCTAATGAGGTCAAAGAGTTATTGAGTGTGTCATCACCCACCAGGCGAATGTCTCTCCGCTGGATGGAATCTGAGAGCATAAGCGTATGTTTGGGTGCTGAACCTCATACATGAAGACATTATTCTAAAACTGGCCGTATCTGTGCTTTGTAGATCATGAGAAGCTGTTGAGGTGACATTTCAGAGAACCACCGAAGCAGCTTTTGCGATTGATCGGACATGATTTCCCCATGAGAGAGTATTGCTGATGGTAATACCAAGCATAGATATAGTGCTCTTGGTGAGAATGGTGGTACCAGACATTGTTATATCAAGCATACTGAGTTGCGCCTTTCTAGAGAAAATACAGAATTGAGTTTTGGTGGCGTTGAACTTGACTATATTCTGATCTTTGGAGGTGATGATTGGCACCAATTTTTGAATTAAAAAGGAATTGTTGAATGAAGCAATATTTGGTTGAATGAAGCAAATAAAAGTGTCATATATGTACGACAAAATAAAATCTTGAATTTAGAGCGAATTTGAAATTCGAATTGAGTGAATATGTCTTGCATGAACTCTGGATTTTGTTCAATCAAGCACATCCATGAATTGTTTATGAAAATATAAATAAATATATCGAATTGGCTCAAAAAATCATTATGTTCGATTCAAAAAAATGAGATATTTGGTTGATTGAAAGAAATATTTGGTTGATTCAATGAATTATTTGGTTGATTCAATGAAATATTTTGTTATTTCAATGAAATATTTTGTTGATTCGATGAAATATTCCGTTGATTCAAGAAGAACTGTAATAACATTCGACAAATTGTTTTGTTGAACCAAATTCAGTATCAATTCGGTAGTTTTCTAGAATTCCACATGAATAGAATGAACTGAACTAGGAAACTAGTCGACTTCTAGCAAAAATCTCCATTCTCCACTCCTCTTCAGCTGATGCTGCAAAACTATTTCGGATTGCTCATCATCCTAAGTTCAATTTATCCAGCTGATATTCCAAACAGGAAGAACCAGGCTTCATGTATATAATGAATTCGAGACAGCCATAGACGAGGCGAAATGATCGCCATCTAGAGGCAAAAATGTAACTTGATGTAGAACGAACAAAATATTTCATTAATATTACAAATTTCGTTGGTATATTCAAGCAAATGATCAGTTCGAACGACTTCATTGCTACATACATCGGAATGAGATAAATTGTATTTTGTTCCAAAGATATATTCTTATCAAAAATATCATTATTCCATTAAATCAACAAACTGTTTATAGTTGAATCAGCATCGACATTATTTTGGATACATATACTTTGTTTTTGAGAAAACCATATATTTTGTTGATGGAATTGATATTATACTGTTGATTCAATTAGACTTCATTCTTGATTTGAACAAGCTACTTCCATGAAATAATCATGTATCTGGTTGATTCAACAAAAAAGTGCTCAGTCCAACAAAAATAATTCGAGCATAAATAATTTTTTTTATGCAACAAATTCTTTTTTTTTTCGTGTAGAACGAGTAAGCTCTGGAATTCATTGCCCGAGAAAGTATTTCCAAGAACTGATAACCTCCAAAAGTTCAAGAAAAATTCCAAAACCTACCTCCTCTTCCTATCCTTGCTATAGTTACGTATACGATGTTCTGCGAACAGTATAGGAATTCCCTAGTGCGCTCCAAGAGATAAAAAACCTACCACTTCTGTGGCAAATTTGTAAACTACCTACTCGTATATCTTCAATAAAGTAATTTTCAAAAAGAAAAATTACATTGTCGCGTTATTTTCGAGATGAATAATTCACTGGAACTCCGTTAGCCCTAATTTGCTATTTAATATTCATTGCTCGTCTACAGTCGACTCAATCTGCCAGATTCATTAAAACTGCCCAGGATTCAAAAAATGCTCAACTTCATACTTCCCGTTATGTTCGCCGGAAATTTGATTCTTTAATTCTACGTCAGGAATAAGCTTAATGAAAAAATCTAGACTGTTTCATTAGAAATCTGACGCAGGAAGCCAGAAGGTATTGCAATAAAATCATCCCATTATACTATCTCATATTTTTCGAGATGGTATGATATATTTTATCTTTCACTTGTCCATTACTTCTTTATAATACCTAGGCAACGTAGGCTATTAACAGACCCATAACACACAGGGCGTTATGGAGGGTATTATGGATCATAACGCCTGCTAATCGTTTTTTTTTCTGTAGTTCATGAAATGACATATCAATTCTTGAGAGTACGCCAATAATACGGTCTTATCTATGGCAATAATTTTATTTTTCAACTCCCATTGATCAAATACTTCTCAGGTAATAAATCGACGCATTGTCTGCATTCTTCCATTTCCATTATTTCCATGAAATTACACAGCAAAGAAAACAGCAATGAGAGAGAGAGAAATATACTTTATTGTCTAAGAAACAGTATTTCTTATTGACAAAGCATAGCATTCAAAATTGAATAAAAGTGTATAACATAACATAAACATATACAACTAAATCAATAATACAGAAAAAATAATAAACTCATTAAAAGTGTAGAAGGACAATAAACAGTACACATTGAAAATCGAAGTGAACAATAATTGTCAAAGCAGATCAATAATATATATACTATTTGAAGTAGTACATGTTGAGGTAATAGGTCCCATTGTTAAATTCCTCAATATTATAGTTGGCTCTCTTCAAAAAGGCATGTTTCACCAGTTTTCTGAATTTACTATGATTTTTTATAGTTCTTAGTTCAGTTGGTATATGGTTATAAATCTTTTTACTTTCAAATAACAAAGAAAATTTTGTCAAACTGGATTTTGGAATGGGTAGAGCAATTTTCCTCTCTGTCCTTTGTCGGGTCACATGATTTGTTTGTACTATAGTCTCAGTCATATACTTTTTGTGAATCAGACATACCGTTTCCAATATGAATAAACTTGTCAGAGTGAGAATTCCTAAGTTTGAAAACAGTGGTCTGCATGACCTGATTGAAAAAGTTGTTGGCTACAATATCCCCAGAAAGCTATTCCATATCTCATATATGAGATTCATTCAGAGAGTGATAGACCATCTTTGCTGTAGACTCAATTTGTTAGTGACAATTCTAAGAGCATAACATCCGGATTCCAATTTTTCAGTTAGAGCTGACATTCACCAAATCAAATGATGACTGCAATATTCAACAAACGTCAAAATATCAACAAAAATGCCATGCCTACCATGAGAAAAAAAAATGGAAAGAAAATGCTACGAGCACTGAATTATAATAAGATAATTTTCTCCTGAAAAATGAAGTCTTGTATGTAACACGAGCGTTAGTAGATCCTAGCATTCCATTTGTTGAGGATCGCCCAAAATATTCAATTTTTACTCATAAATGTGAAAAATAAAAATCTTCCTGTTCCAGGAGATTTCTCATAAATGGACAGTTTGGCTAGCAATGATTTTACCACAAATGTTTTATAGGATTCATATCGGGGCTTCTCGCAGGCCATTGTAATATGGTAATACCAGTAGCTTCTAAGAAGTTTCGCACTATTGATGCGGTGTGCGGTCGGGCATTATTCTGCATCAATATAAAATTATTGCCCACTAACTCTGCATAAGGTAAGACATACTGCTCTAAAATGTCAATGTAAATTAACACACAAGGTGAGTCAAAAATTGAGAATAAATCATGGTTCGAGTTATTCCACCACCATCAAGGAGGCTTTGGAAAAATGTTCACCTCTTAATTTTTTTTCAAAGACAAATGCATCACCTACCAACAAATGAAAAAAAAATAAAAATCGGCCTACCATTTTTTTTTTAAAGATAAGTCAGGAACTGAGTGTAATTATATCTGAGAAAATTCCTTCTCAATAATATATCTTTTGTTTCACTAAACAATTCACTTTCTATTTAGCAAACAATCGATTCGTGGTATATGTACAGTCGTGGAAAATTCTATAGGAGATGAATTATTGTGGAAGAAGATATGGCACCAGTTTGAGAGAATATAAAGCAATATCCAATAACAATAGCGAAGGCTGTGGACATAAAAGTCACTGATGGGTCCAGCCAAAGATACTTCGACTGTTTTTGATCGCCAGTGATAAAAATTCTGTATGGCTTTCTTGTTTAATGAACGGAATTATGAAATGAAATTATGTTGTTTCTGTCAGAAATGCCTCATTTTCATTACCAATAACATTTCGTTCGTCATTCTGGATAAGATAAACTGCAAAATTTCATAATGACAACTAACAACTCCAATTTTCTCCTGATATTAGCAGCGATAAATTTAATTGGCTTGGGTGAAAACAGATAAATTGGTTATAGTACGAACTTCTTTAGTCACTTTTCTAGACCATTGCCAATACAGTACACATCAGTTTTTTAGAAGGGAATAATGGCCTCCAACATAATCGTTATTGTCGCATCACTTTTTGTTATTCAGGTAAGAAAGTTTATAGTGAAATGTTGGCTAAGTCATTGGAAAAAACGTTGGAACATCGAAACAATGGATCTTTTCTAATCTTTCAAAACCTTTGATGAAGTGATTTGCTATCTCAAAGACTAAAAATAATATCGGACATTGATGGACTGGTTCGGGCCCATAGATTTGTAATTTTTTCAAAAATTCTCCAGTGTTCTGATTTTGTGTCGCCAAAATTTACTAACAAACGAACATAAGGTAATGATCCAGTATAAAGCATAATGATAGCTTAATTCATCTGGTAACAGGACATTCACATAATATTAGGAACCTACTACAACTCACGTGGTCAAAATCAAGCTTTGTAGTGTCAAAGCTGCTCTCAGGTGAAATAATAGTAGCTGTTTTATAAAATGGTGTTGATAATAATATCGGACTTGAATGGACTGGTTTGAGCCCATAGATTTGTCATATTTTCAGAAATTCTCCAGTGTTCTGATTTTGTGTCGCCAAAATTTATTTAAAAAAACGAACAAAAGGTATAATGAATCACTATGAAGGTTATTGATAGCTCATTTTTTTTGTATCAGGATATTCACATAAAAATCGGAACTAGAGAATACTACCTGCTAAGCAACATTTCAGGAAGTGTGTTGGAAGTTAACCAAAACAAGCTACCAATATTCAAGAGGTGCCAAGTGGTCCAAATTAAGCTTCGTATAGTGTCAAAGCTGCTCTGAGGGGGAATAATAGTAGCTGTTTTATACAGGGTGTAAATTTGAAAACTTTCAATGCGAATATCTCGCGAAATAAAAAAGTTTGAAAAACGCCGCTTGGCAAAAATGCTAAAGAGTTAAGGGGAACTAGAACCACCATACTTCAGTAAAGGGATGAGTCACCCCGTCGGCGCGACACACTCCATCTTTGAAATGTCAAATTGCACTACCTCTTTTGTGATACCTCAAATGAACGGTCTCAGTCAGTAGTATTCACCTGTATAAGACTTATTTTCCACCCACTACAGGGTGAACAGAAAACATAAAGTCGAATAAAATAAAATGCAGAATGCCGATATATTCCGAGAGATGTGTTCCAAAATGTTAGAATGGCATTTGAACATCGATTATACTATTGCTTACAACAGAATGGAATGCATTTTGAACATCTGATCAAATAAAATATCCTTTCAACACAATTCATTCTATTTCATTCGACTTTATATTTTTCGTACACCCTGTAGTGGGTGGAAAGAAAGTCTTGTACAGGTGAATACTACTGACTGAGACTGTTTATTTGAGGCATCACAAAGAGGTAGTGCCATTTGACATTTCAAAGTTGGGGTGTGTCGCGCCGACGGGGTGACTCATCCCTTGACCGAAATATGGTGGTTCTAGTTCCCCTTAACTCTTTAACATTTTTGCCAAACGACGTTTTTCTAACTTTTTTCTTTCGCGAGATATTCGCATCGGAAGTTTTCAAATTTACACTCTGTATAATGGTGTTATTTGTATATTCGGAGTTCTGCTTTTTTGGTTTCTAGACGCATATTGGCGCAATCCAGGGTTATATCGTCAGCCAACCTGGAAATGTTTCTCGAATTTTCATGAGTTCTGGATAATAAAACATCAGCTCTAAATATTGAATAGGCGTACCTATAGAAACAATTTTGAAATAAAAAAATAAGAACCCCAATTTTTTCATGTACAGGGTGAGCAAAATTGGGCGTTTTCACGGTCTATCTCAATAACTGAAGGAGTTATCGAAAAACCGATATACATGTTACGGGTTCGATTTTATAAAAACCTTAAATGGCGTATTCGGAATTTTGATATCTTCATTCATTTCAGAAATACAGAGGGAAATTGAAAAATTGCCGATTTCGTTTTTATTTTCTGAGTACTTTATGGAGGGGAATATTGAAAATTTCCAAAAATTCATTCATATAGTATGATGCAAACAATCCATTGGCATCATCAGAAATTTTATACAGGGTTACATTGAAAAGATACGACAGCCAATTATATTTTTTCTTATAAAGACCCCGTATATTTTGGCATTGTTAGATAGTCACAGGCGTTCCAATTTCACCCTTTTCTTCCACAACTTCAGAAATATTGTCAAAAATATATTCAGCGTGTCAGATTTTTCATGGTAAAACCTCCGTATCATTGAGGTTGGATTCATAAATTCGCAACTGTGAGAGAGATGCCAATGATACACTCGAGGACCTTAGTAAAACAACTTCAGTGATAACACTGCTCGCCAGCAGCTATGGAATCGTAGATTTTGTACCTATCTTCACAGACAATTTTCGAAGATTTCATGACACAAGTGAATATTTGGCTAGAGGAATGGAGGAAAACCGCAATGAAAAGTTTTTCAATTAATTTAAAATGTTGCCTGATATGTTTTATCTATTGCTCGGACTCTTGGAGACTAAACTTGAAAAACAACCAAGAACCAGATTAGAAGTAACGCTTCGTTATTTGGCATCTGGTGAGAGTCTGACTTCTATTTCATATATTTTTCGTGTTGGGATTTCTTCAGTTTCAGAAATTATCCTGAAACATGCCTTTTTAGGCATTTAGAACACATCCATAAAAAACAACAAACACATCCCACAAAGTTTATGAGTTGTCGACATTTTAGGAAAAAAATCGAAAAAATTAAAATATTTACTCAACCTCAATGTGAAAGTAGCCTCAGAATGGATGACAATTTGAATCTGCTGACAGAGATGTATAGAAATTCAACTGGTGGGCTCACTCTTCAATTGTTTCGTCAGACTAACTCTCGATATGGAACAATTGCAAGCGAGTTTTGGACGTGGGGTTCAGGTATTTGCGATAGAGGCGCCATAATCGGAAAATCGTTCAGAACCTTGGTTCTGTGAGGGATGAATCTATTTCCATCATTGTTCTGTGGTCGAATAAATACTGTGCTCAACATTTTCATTCAAATTTCAATTTGAAATAGAAGCAAGAAATCTTTTTTGTAGCCGATTCTAATAAGCTTCACTTCTTTCATGACATGAACCTATTTGAAGCATGAAATCTGATGAATTTCCTCTTTGAAGAACCAGAACAAAGAATGTATTGAAATAGACCAATATCGAAAATCATAATAGACAGATATGGTAACTGGTACTCACCTTAGAATTCATTCATACCAGTTCACGCTAATATTTCAAATCACTGAAATAATACTGTTGTAGAATAGAGATTTCCTTTTTTCTATGGTGGATTATAGGTATTATACACAAAATTTAGAAACTACGGAACACGTCCCTAACGAACACTTGACCCCAATCTCAGAAATAACCATTTTTTCAGCTCAAGAATATTTTTGACATACTGACGTTTCGATCCTTTGATCAGGAATCAGTTCACTGCTCTGATCTAAATCATATACGTATCCAAATATTTATCGGTCGGTAATATGTTTCCTCTGAATATGTATTGTAACCAGGATGAGCTTAGCGAGATTTACCCACGTCAAGTATGTTTATCAAAGGTTTATCAGAGTAGGCGCCATCGAGAAACTTGCAAACGACCTTCAATAGGGAGCAAGCGCACCAGTTAAATTTCTATACATCTCTCTGCTGACCGTTGCTAGGATTCTTGACATTTCTCTAACTTGTTTCAGTGTGCCTACAGTCAAAGCATCCAAGATCCCAGGATCCAGGCTTGCGCAAAAAAAATCTGGGACCAAGTAGAACAACTTCAGTATGGCAAAGTACCATTATGTTATGACCTCGAAAAACTGAAGGAAGTAACGAAGGAGACTGGGGTTTTCCTAGAATTCAACAGCGAAATTCCGGATAAGTGCAAGACATTGAGCACGGAAAATGTTGCAGAATGTTTCGAGATAGTGAGCAACATGATCAGCAATAAGAGCGATGATCTCAAGACCAGCATCCTCAACAGCATCAAGGGAGTGATAGGCTCTTTCAGTAATTGCTTCGAAGTCTTCAAAAACAGGATCATGAATATGGACAAATTTATAGCCAACGGTTGTGAAGACTGAAAACAGTTGTAGAATTTGTATGAACTCTTAACACAAAATTAAAAACATTGATTGGTCTTTTGGGTATCTTTATAACAATCCGAATTGAGGAGCTTCTGATAGGTATTTGATATCATCTCCATATACTAGTGTATATTATCAAGGTCCATATTCACAGCTTCGCGGATGATAGTACCCTCCATACCGTCTTCTCTTCCAGGGCTCCAATACTAGCCAGACAAATCAGGAACGAACGAGGCAGAAATGTTGACAACATAAATATGCACTTGGCAACTATTCTAGATTGGGGATTCAATAACTTGGTAGATTTCAATGCAAACAAAACACAAGCATGCCTTTTCTCTAGGAAAGGTATCACTATCAGCAATAACCTTTTTTGGGAAAATCACGTGAGATCAATTGCTAAAAGTGCATCCCAAAAACTTTGTTTTCTATTTCGGGCCAGGAGCTATTTCACGTCCAGTCAGATGCTTATGATCTAGAAGGCACAGATACGACCTGTCCTGGAATACTGTCCCCATATTTGGAGTGCAGTACTCAAACATACCCTGAAACTGTTGGATTCGGTCCAAAAAAGGGCAATTCGTCTCGTGGGTGATGCCTCGCCTCACTCACTTTTCTGGAACACCGTAGACAAGTTGGCGATCTGGCCCCTTTTTTATAGATATTCTCATGGACAATGCTCTCCTGAAATATCAACAATTGATCCTACATTGGCAGTCCTCGCGAGATTAACCCGTCGAGTTGAGGCTTCGTGGTCACTTTGGAGACCTGCAGATTATCTCTTTCCAAAGACTCGTTCATCCAACGAACAGCGAGGCTCTGGAACACATTGCCAAGGAAGGTGTTTCCTGAGGCATATAACCTCCAGAAATTTAAGAAGAACACCAATTCCTACCTTATTTTCCTTGGTTCTCACGATGTTCTCTGAACATTACAATATATCCCTTTTCGTGGGAACCAGAACATGAAAAAAAATCAAAAACCTTGACTGTGTTTGACAGATGAAGCTCGAACCATCAACGTTCCTTACTCGAATATCAACACAGACATGTTAGAGCATTTGTCTCAAAAGCATTCTTTGAAACAGTCAACAGTACACCTAATAAATATCAGGATCAGTTTCAGAGAGATAATTAGAGCGTATCAACCGAGTTCATTATGCCAATGCAAAGCTGATGAGAAATGTTTATTTTCCAGACGAATAAGATGAGGTAAGCAAACCATCAAGAGTTCAATTGTTCTCTGAATATAATGAGTTTTATAATGCGTATATTGTTGTTGTGATGGTGAAGAAGGAGATGGCAATCAGATTAGTTGATTAGATTGGTAACCTAAATAGCAGTCATGCAGAAATGTTGGTGAAACAAAACTGTAATAAGTTTGACGCGAAATAAAGATTTTCGTCGTTTTATTGACTCGATTTCATGTCCATTGCATTGAGTTTTGAGTAAAACGACTCAATATATTGGATGAAATCATCAGCACAACAGGTTAACTGGCAAGCATGATCAAAAGAGAAATTATATAATATGTAAAATAAAATTACCTTCGAGTGTGGTTTCAGTTTGTAAAGTCCTTTATGACACCATACGTTTAAACATTCCATCACATCACCATTTTTCACTGAGCAATTTCACTAAATGTTTGAAAATGATTCACTGATGTTATTCGATTCCCAAACTCCCTATCACAGATAGTCGATATGTTATCTACATATCTTGATATTAATCAATGAACAGCAGCTCCAATATTGAGTTCAGTTTCCTTTATGGAACACAGTCATTCTTGAAATCAACAGTCATTGTGAATTATTTTATTTCCCCAGGATTCTCAGCAAGATATATATCATGTCCAATCCATGATTGTTATGTTATTCAAGATTGTAGTGTATTCACTAGAAAAAAATTAAGATGAGATAATGATTCTTCTGAACCCATATTTTCAGCTCCAAACCAAAGAAAATTGAGCTACAAGTTTCTCTTAAAAAAAATCATCTGCTAATGGAAACATTTAAATCATGAAATGTTATCTGATGAACGTGAAAGTTCAACAATTCCAACATGAAACAGGTTCCTTTTCTTCTGAAAAGAGATTATAGTTAAAAGATGGAATTTGAGAAATAATCATTCAGGTCCTGAATGAAACGTTACTGTATAATCCTCAAACAGGTGACATTTCATTCAGGAAATTAAACCGTTTGGTCCGCCACTACTAATCACATACCATCTTTGTCATACTCGTATGCCCTAATGATTCTTCTCACTCACTCAGAGATCGTGAACTCTTCATGCAAGGTGATACTTGTTTCCCGAAAAAGTGAAGTGATTGAAAGTCCTTCCAGAAGTATCATGGACACATATATGTTCAATAACCCCCCAAGTAGGACTCTTTGAGAAGTTGTGTAACTCCATTTGACAATTTTGGGTAGAAGTAAGTTCGAGATATGAAGAAGGGTATGATATCATTGGAATACAAAAAGGATATTATTGTTATTTTTTTATAATAGTGATAGATTTTATAGGCATATCGACGCCAAAGGATGCATGCTGAAGCAAATTTATTTTACCTCCCACGGGAGTTATTTTTTTTTACTCCCGTACAGTGACTTGATAAAATACGTTGAGTGGTCCATTCACGAAATCTTGGTGAGTATATCTTTGATGAGAATTCACTAGTGGCAAAAGCTTATACGGTATTCGATACCGATAAATAAACAAGTGGGTCTATATACGTGATAAATATACAATTAATGATTCTACTGTTGTTTGTGGAAATAATCATTTTCTAATGGAATTAACATATGTGATAATGAAATGAATAATAATACATGTACGCTCTATAAATTTCAATTAATTTCATTGTGGCAGATACGATAATGTTTTAATAGTACCAACCTAACGGTAACCGAATTAGAATTCATGAGCATTTTAGCTGGAAAACAAACACAAATATGAGCTACCTATACATCTCTGGAATCATTTTGTTGTTTTTATTGAAGATTATGTTTTCACAGACTGTCACTAACCTCAAACAATGTTGGTATTAGAAACTCTTCGATTTTCAGTATTTTTGGGACAGGTGTTTGTTTCTATATGAATTATTCGATCGGAAAGAAACATTGGAGAATATACAGGATGTTTCAGGTTCGGATGATCGGATTATTGAGTATATATTCGTTTCAATTATAAATAAATACCATTGTATTCGTAGGGTCTGACAAAAATTAAGCTACAAATTAAACCTAAGAATATGTGAGATGAACACGAAAAACCTCTTAATACCAGTTGTTATTCATGAGAGTCCTTATCTCAATTTCTCCCTCTCTAATTGGAAAAACTACTTCATAATTTTTCCTTTAGGTGATGGAAAACTGATTTCATCTAGATACATACAGATACATACTTTTCAAGAATATCCAGATTGCCAAAAAGAGAAATATTCCATTCAAACACTTTTCTCACAAATCGATTTTCACAAATTTGAGGACATATTCAAATGTTACTTTCCACCTGATTTGTGAAGTGAGAACCTACACTCAGTCAATCAGTACTTCCGAGTGAACTACAGTAGCATTGGCTACAAGGTGAATGCCGTCATTCGTATGTATATAATCGCAAACTTATTATTCATGACTGATAAAACGCTTCCATCCATTTCAATTCATAATACTTTTGAAGACTCTCATCAAGATAATTTGATCACATTTTCTATAAGAACAATGTTTCAAACTAGCAGACCTCACAAACGTTGTTTTGCTTTATACATTATTTCAATAAAATATTTTTTTAGTTCAATATTCATATATGACACTGGTTTCGTAATTCCAATACTCTTCAAATTGACATACTTTCGACTTTCTGTTTATGATTGTTACGATGAGAATTGGTGGCGGGAAAACAAAAAGCATCATACACAATTCAGTATTTCCTCCTCTTCACAATTCTTTTGATGTACTGTGGTAATCATTAAATACAGTGTGTTATTTCAATATTTCGAATAAATGTAAATTTTTCCTGAAGCTGAACCTGGAGTTTCACTCCGCCCGATAGATGAATGAATTTAACGTCCCAAGTATAAGCTCCTTACCAAATTTGAGAAAAATATACGGGGTAGGTCAATACATATAGACGAATGAATAATTATTCGAAATCGATAAATCGCCCTGTATCTCCGTTATGAAGACTCTAAGACCTATCAAATATGGTATTTTCAGAACCACCTTGGTGACCCCTATCTACCATTGAAATATTTCCCTTTACCAATGAAACACCCTGTATATTAATTTTTTACAAAATTCACAGTGAGATGGAAACCTCAATATAGGAAACTTCCCCATTCTGAGCTATGTTCGTTTCCGTATCAGACAAAAATTCACGTTTTCCTACTTTGTCAGTTCGAACCCTTGTGATTCAATTCCGCCACATTTGCTTTGTCGAAAAAAACGATCTCCTATATCCACTTGGTCTGAACCTCGTATGGGTACACATAAAGATTGATTTTTGCAAGCTGTAGAATTTTGTCAGACCCGCCCCACAGTGGCGTGCTCAGAAGTGTACCTTGGGGGAGGGGGAAATATATTTGTTTTGCAAAATTTAAGATTATTGGCAACTATCTATACTAATATTATAGAGAGAAAGGATTTGATTGTTGGTCGACCACAATATTTTTTTCGTTAGATTTTCATCAATATTATCAATACTTCCAAAATGCCTGTCCTAGTAATTGGACTGAGGACTATTTTAGATAATTAAAGGAATATTTTTGTCTTGCTTCAATCCCTGCAAATTTATGCTTGGTTGACTAGAGAGTAGGGACTTTGTATGATCTCACCTCATTTCTGCAGGTTTAGGTTCACGTGCATATGTATGGATTGATAAAAATCTGAAACATATCCCATCCATTCTTATATAGGTAGTTTTGAAATTGACTATGGGATTTTTTCCAGTCTGACTTCATCATCATCATTATTATTCATCTTCATAGGTAGGACTTATCTACCAACATTTCTTCTTTGAAGCCATTATTTTATACATATATCTCTCTCTTTTTTTTCCATAACTTTTTGTATTGCAAATACAACACAAAATACTTACCATATAATATAATGAATTTTTATTTAATTTTCCCTTGTGATTTTTCCCATTTTAGAGAACCTACTTAACCAATATTTTTGTTCAAAAATCTTCAAATCGTGTGACAAAGATTTCTCCACATTTCAAACCATTTGAGTCAGACAGGCAAACATGACGTCACATCAAACAAGTATGATCAAATTGTTTGACCGTGTGACACGGCCTTTACAAGTAGGTTTTACATGTGTCTGATGATGTTCGAATACCGAAACTAGTAACACTACTTATGTAAAAAAAAATTGTGGTCGACCGACTTTGGGAATTCTTTATATCTCTCTTTGAAAAGTTGTGTCTTTTTATTCGACATGTGGGAGGGGATATATTTCCCTTTTCCCTCCATAGGTACGCCACTGAGACACACATCATCCGGAATGGCGAAATGTAGAGTGGATTAGATTGAAAAAAGTTGACGGAATGCGATATCGTTGGTAACACTAGACATGAGAAGGAGTAACAAACATTGAATATAGTTGACAGAGCAAGAAATGAATAAAAGATACTGGAAAATCTATTACGGTATCAATACAAAGTAATCTGATATTTCATATCCTATTATTTTTCAATGCAAGATTTCGAATAAGGATGACCTGTATGGTATTGACAGAAATAAGAACGTGATATTCCTAGGCTTGATGTTCCTTTGGCATTTTCCCAGAAAAACAAGGTTGAGAAAAGTTATTCAGTGAGTTGTTTCAATAGAACGAATTGGAAGGGTATCTCTGGAAGTTTCATTATAGGTACGAGTTACTATTGGGAATTCACAGATGTATAGAGCTGAATGAAAGATGTTCTAGTGAATCTACTTCATACCATCATAAGCATAGTTTCAAGTCGATGAATGCGTATATACAGAGTAAGTTAGAAAGAAGTATGTAATCACCTAGTATACAGGGTGTTATTTGAGAATTTGGCCAAACTTCAATGGTTGATTATTTTGGTGATGGAAAGACAAAAAGTTCATGTAAACATAGGTCTAAAAATACTTCGTTTCAATAAAAAATCGTTTTCAACTCAAGATTCTGATTCCCAATTTTGATAAAATTTGGTTATATTATTAACAATATCAATAACCTTCTTTTGGTGCAATCAGATTCGGAATAATGATTCCAGTGGCGTCGCGGTGAGTTATGTCATAGTTTTTTAGAAGTTCGATATTTTTTTCAGATTGAACAATTGAAAATACATCTTGTTTGTTCTCAGTTTCCGAAAAAATAATGAAACATTGATTGGATTCCACATTTTGATGAAGGTTTCCTCAAAGCACCCATTAGGATTACCCAATAACTCCAATGAGTATTATTCTGAAATTTTGAGACTATCACATCACCAACCAGAGTAAATTTTGCGAACAACAATCAATACTTCCAACTTCAACGCCCTGTATCTTGAGAACGAAGCATTTCAGGACTTATGTTTATGTTTTTTTTTCTTGTTCTGGTTCCCACGAAAAGGGATATCATATAATGTTCAGAGA